CATGAAGATTGAAGGTCATGTGCCTGAAATGATTTAATGTTCAAAATGTAATCACTCTAGTCCAGTATGCCTTTCTACCCAGATATTGTGTAATTTTGCTAGGGTGAAAAAATCAACTAATTCAAATGTTCCACCAAATTGCCTGTTATTTTTACTTAAATATCTTAAAACAAATACTTCTTGATAAAAAATATAATCACTGAAGTGTCTCTTAAAATTCTATGCCTGTTTTTTCTACAGAATATCCCTTAGAATTATTGTGACCTTTTTGCACTTGCAGTTCTGCACTTACAAGAGTGAAAACTCCATTAATTTAAATTTGCAACCAAAATCCCATTAATACTAAATAATATATTTAAAAACAATCACTTTTTAAAAATATGAAATCAATGGAAGCGTTTCTTGGAATTTTATAGCTGTTTTTCTGCAGACTATTCAAATATCTTTATTTCTTACAATTATCGTGACCTTTTTGCACTCGTAGCTCTTCACATTCAAATAGGTATGTGGAAAAAATTCTGTAAATATTTTTTTCAAAGGTTTTAATTCCTTAAATCCATTAGTTATGAAGATATTATGGAAATTTTTTTATACACAAACAGAATATGTACAAAAGGTGTTATTTTTCCATACTGGGTATAGAAATAGGCTGACGATAAACTAATTCTCCCTGTATCCATGGTAACAAATCAAATGACGTCACCAAACTTACGCAGTAAGTAAGTGACCTTGATCTCACTTTGTATGCAAAGTTTCAAGAAATTTTGAAAAACTTGCTTTCATAGCATTCTGCATGGTTTTCTCGTAGACACGCATTTAAAATATAAAAATAATACCAGAAACAGTAAATATCATTTAATTTTTTTCACATTTAATCCTTAATTATTAAAATACGAGTTGATTTAGTCATGTTCATTCTCTTATTTATGAAGATGTCTGAACATAGACAAAGCACAAGGCACGGAAAACGGAACAGAAAATATCTAATGCCGTACATATATATATATGTAACATGTTTTGAGCGAAAATTTCCATAATTTTCAATGCATATGTACCCATTCACCTTAGGTGTGGATAACGTACATCTCTGTAACCCCCCCCCCCCCCTACTAAAATATAAATAACAGCTCTATATTTTCTCGAAAATATGTCATTTCCCCATCAATTTCATCTTGACGTTATTCTGTGGAATGAGTTTGTGCTGTTTTACACAATTTGGCCATATACATGTATGCTATCTTTCTTCAATCCCCGTTTCAGCTGTTCAGGTCCCTGTGGATTGCATCAACACTCCTGTAGTTGTAATGAACTTATTTAAAAATTGTTTCCTTAATACCAGTGATCATTGTCTCTAACACAAATGTATATGTACTCTGTTTTTCTCTTTTTTCCGCCTGTTTCAAAACAAAATTGCCCCTTTTATAATCAATAATAATGATTTTGTCTTTGACGAATAAGCCATTTTTTAAATTCAGATTTGGATGAGTGCAGGCACGGATCCAGGAAATTTTTCCAAGGGGGGGGGGGGCACCTTTTCGTACCGACTTTATACAGATCCGCGTTTTCGAGGTGGGGGGGGGGGGGGGTGTGGTCCAAGTTCACTTTTAGTTGGTTTAGTATATACATTTAATAACTCTGCCAATTCCGGGGGGGGGGGGGGGGGCGCGGACCCCCGACCCATCCACCCCCCTCTAGATCCGCACATGAAGTGAGATATTCTGATAGATAATGGGATATGAGTCTAATTAATGTGTATTTTATTGACCATTGCATGTATATATATGCCATATGTTTTGAGGAAAAAATATCATGAATAAATCACGTTGTTACGATAACTTTTAAGTAGATATGATCTACATGTACATGTATTAGATAAAGAATATTGCTTCCTAAGTCTGAAATATACCTGTGCTTAGTGAAAACTTGACATCAAATTTTCCGTTTTTGGTTCCGTTCCGCTTTCCGTTCCGCGTTTTAGCAACACCCCTGTTGAACAGACCTCTGGCCTTAACTCATTCAGCCCCAGCCACTCTTATCTACACAGTGCCTCAGCATCTGTTATCAGCATGTGCCCCAGAGAGATTTCAGGAGGATGCTTAGCGCTCGATATAAACAAACACATGCTTTGTTTACCTTTGTATCTCTTAAATTATTCCACTTATATCAATAAAATTTTTACACAACAAAGAAAACAAAATTCTGAATTCATCAGTATAATTTTCTTCACAAATAATGGAATATTTTTAGTCATCCACCATTGTGTTTGTAATGCCACGCTTGAAAGTAACACTATACTTTCATTTCCCATTGTTTCCTTTATTTTATGAATATTTATAAGGTAAAAGTTAAGAAAGACTTGTTAGAACCTTTCTGATTGGATAAATCACAACATTTCTGGCTGAAATCCAATTATTCAGCCAATCAGAGGCCTTTTTCTAAACCCTATGTTGGCTTCGCCTCCAAGCGGGATCGGCCATTCATAACATTGTAAACAACACTACTGTAGTCGGTATCGGCCAATAGCGGTATGATAAATACCCCGCCTGTAGTAGGGATCGGGGCTGAATGAGTTAAAGGCAGAGATTTTTTACCGGGTGGTAAATTCCAGGCGAGGGAGGGGCTTATTTTGTACAGGTGTGAATGCCTTGAGGGCCAGCAGTCTACCTGTGGTCATTTGTCTCCTAATCCCTATACACAGGAAGTGATTTAATACACAGTAGAGTACCCAAGAAGTCAAACTTTACCTGTGTTGGGATTTTGAGATGATTTTAAATTAGAAATAAAAATTTGTAAATAAAGTTTAATCTCAATAATTTTGATTAATTTGTAACTGAATGTGTGTCAAAACATCCCCACCCATTAAAAAAATTATTATTCAAAGTATTTGTTGAGCTTTGAAAAAAAAGTTATACCAAATTTTGATACATAATTATATCATCATAAAGAATACCATAATTATTTCAAATAATAAAGGTGTGTATGTATATATATTATCAAGCTAAAAATTCCATAGTAATACTGTAACAGCTTCTCTGTTGTTTATACCATGTGTGGTAAATATCAAAGGATCAAAAGTTAATTTGAAGGTCACCAGGAGTGCCAAACAAGGTGTGCAGGGTATATACAGGGACTAGTAAGTAAATGTCAATCAAGTTCTAGCACCCAATGATGTACCTTGATGCACTTGATTGACAGGGGTATACAGACCAGGTATTTTTGAAGGCGGTGCTTAAAATCTCTGCCTTTAAAGCTGAACACGACTCGTAAGTAGGCATACGCAATATTCGATTATACAATCTACGATATCAGCACCGGGATTCGTTCGCATTCGTTACACCTGACTGCTTTATTGTCACAGGTATCGGCGTGGAATGGCGACAGTTTCGTGCTTGTTATCTTGCATTGCCTTTGTTTATTTATTTTATTGCAGTTATGTGTATTTGTGTTTGTTTGTATACTGCACTGACCTGTGCAACTGTTGTAAGTTTCTTTGGTATCTTACTCTCCTGCCGTAGAAGTACACAGTTACTTTTGTCGCTGCCGAGTGCTGTGTAGCATGCGTCCGTCTACACCACTGACAAAGATTAAAATGAAGAGTTAGAAGTGAGCGGCTTATATAAAGGCCCACAGATATAGCGAGTGAATAATCGAATATGGCGGACAAATTCCTTTTATGAATCGTGTTCAGCTTTAACACAGGTAATTCTACGAGGGTAGATTTTAATAACAGTTAAAAATCGAAAGAATTTTGAATTTTTCATTTCAATAGACAAACTCATCTTTAAATTCATTGGAAGAGAGGGTCATTTAGTTGGAACCCATCAACTGTTTAAATGGATCTGAGAGAGGTGAGAGAGAGAGAGACCATAAACTTTTTCACTTGAAGAAAAAGACTCAATTTTTTTCAATAGATCAGAGAGAGAGAGAGAGAGAGAGAGAGAGAGAGAGAGAGAATCAACTTTTCCAATGGACCAGAGAGAGAGAATTTTTCAGTATTATGGATGAGAGAGAGAGAGCTATTATTCATTGTATATTTTTCTCTGCTCAAGTTAGATGTATAAAAGGTTGATTTTAAAATGTGACATACCAACATCATGTAAAGTGTTCTTAAATTAATAGATACTACATATGTAATTGGCATTGTATATTGTCAGAGGATCACCTAAACTAATTGTTCTTCGCAGACTTGCATTAGCATTGCTTAATGGAACTCCAACCCCAACCCCTGCTTTTTCAAGTTTGTTATATGTATATTTGAAAGGTTAAATCATACATGTATATTTTACCAGTGCTCTGTTTGGAGGTGTCAAGTATGTTTGAAAATTACACTGGCATGGATTTTTTTAACAATTTTAAATTTAAAGGCGCGGGTCGCTCTAATTAGCAAAGCTTCATAAGTTGTTACCCTGACCACAATATATAGGACTTTGGAGATCAAACAGTCAAAGGTCTTCTGTCGCCTCTGTATCCTGGTATCCATCCTTTTGAGAATTTTTTTTTTGGGGGGGGGGGGGGGGAGGCTACCCAGATGATCTATAATTGACGGCCCTTATACATGTATAATTGAACATAGGTTTTAAAAATTTTATCTACGAAATTAGATTTGAAAACTTTATATTGAGTCTGAAACTACTCGCAAGTTTCCATATTAAAACTAAACCGTCTCTATTATACATCAACCATAAGAAAAAAGAGACCCTATATCTCAGATTGGATGATGACGAGTGAGTGTCCGTAGATAACGTACAGGTTAGATATGACCTTGACATGTACAATACATGTAAGGTCAGCAGCTAGTCAGTCTCATTTTCCTATAACTGCATGTTACATGTATGTAATATAAATACTAATAGGCCTACCCTATCAGATATGACTCATTGGACGGATGTTGTACAGATACATGTATACACATACATCATTACATGTAGGCCTACATGTGTATACGTTATTGTGATATGCATAGATACACAAATTATGCATGTAATGCAATAAATTCTTACCGTGTAACTGTATGCCGGGATCGTACTGTTTATGCTTCGAGTACACTGTAACAGCAGTAATTTTCGGAAAGTGACAGTTGACCAAAGCCCTTTTGCAAACTTATCACGTGGTATGGAATACCGTTTTCATCATATTTTAAACCTTGTGTCCATGGACATCAGTTGTTCATCTGTGTCGCAAGTAAATAATAAACCAGGGGCGTAGATAGAACTTTGATGAAGTATACTAGGTACAAATTACTCTGTGTGCGGCGAGGGGTCTGGGGGCCGCTGAAGGCCCCCAGCGGGTCCAGGGCAGCGCCCTGGTAAGGGGTTTAGGGGGGCGAAGCCCCCCCCCCCCCTGAAAATGGATTTCACGACTTTGAGACCCCTGGGTGACAAATTCTGGGCGTTTAAAATACAAAATTATGGGTCTCTTTAAAATGAAATTTCATATTAAGTAGAAAAGATAAAAAAAGTGCAGTCCAACTTTTAAGGGAGCCGACTGGGGTTTTATTGTGTGAAAACTACTATAATCTATAGTAAACTAATCTATAGTAAATCTATACTAAACTCTTTAATTTTATATCATATATACCTTACATTGACTTCAGTATATATGCCAAGTTTAGTGAACATCTACCGTCTGGTTATTTTTTAGGGACCATCTCAAAATATAGGTACATTTACTATAGGGTTATATAGGAAAATACCATTTTTTCGCACTTTGGAGCAAATTATACAAATGCTACTATAGACTTTTTGCTCAAATTATATTATTTGATGGGTAATACTATATTGTACATTCTTTGCAAGAAACACACAAATCTACCGTCTGGTTTCCAGAGGGGGCATCTCAAAATGTCAAAAATCGTGATATGTTCCTGTTTTTATGGAGTACAACAAAACATGACAGTTACCACAGATTTACATAAAAAATATTAAAAATGATTGTGAGATTCTCAATTTCCTGTGTTTAAAATTTCAAGAGCATCTATTTTATACTTTTTATTTTATGACATAATAAATGACCCCGCTTAAAGAACTTCGGTTATTCATAACGTCAGAAACACGCTATTACGACGTCTATCTACCCATCATTTGAAAAATCGTTTAAAAAATCAGTTATTTAAAAACGTAATTAGATTTTTTAATTTTTATAAATTATGTAAAAATAGTTGCTTTAAAAGAGTAAATACGCTTTATTTTACTATGCTGCGCGAAGTATTGCGCAATGAAAACCCCAGTCGGCCCCCTTAAGTTAGAAGAGTTTTCATATTTTTTCGGCGTAATCAAATTTAGAACATGAAGAAGAAAGTCATTTATAAAGTATTCAAAAATAATCAGACACAAAGCAATGTTTTACAATAAATAATGAACAAATATTGATTAATATGACAATTAATACCACACGTATCTTGTGAGCGTCGGGGGAGTTTTATATCTCTATTTAATTACTTGCATATAAAAATTTTAAAGACATTTCATAAGGAGTCCTACTGTGAAACAGCCGGTTAACTATCGCAGGTTATTATTACTTTGCACAGATCGGTGGTTATTTATACATTAATGATCTCTCTAGCAATGGCGAAAATGATATTTAGTCATTTACATGTATTTTCTTTCTTTTTTACAGTTTTGTTTCTAAGGTTTTTTTTCTGAAAAAAAAATTAAATGTAGGCACGTGCCTTAAGTGCCTAATGGCAGCTACGTGCCTTAAGTGCCTAATGGCAGCTACGTGCCTTAAGTGCCTAATGGCAGCTACGTGCCTTAAGTGCCTAATGGCAGCTACGCCACTTATAAATATGTAAAAAAAAAAAAAATGAAACCCACAATTTCAACAATATTATATAAAAAATGAGGCTTGAGTTCAAGTCTTAAAGAAAGTGTAGGACTTCTTGCTAATGTCAATTGTTGAACATCGGTATACATGTATTTCTGTGTAAAGCTTAATTTGAACCCTTTTACGGTATAACTTCCCCTTCATCCCCATTCCCAACCCTTACTTTTCAATTTACACTGCATGGTGGTGGGTGATGTTTGCATCGATCTTTTAAACATATGAAATAAAAGATTTCAAAGCTAACATATCAACTGTGCGCGGATCCGGGATTTTTTTCCGGGAAGGTGGGGGGGGGGGGGGGGAGCAAACTCAAAAAATATGACACGGAAATTGTTAATAAGAAAAAGAGAGCAATTTTTTTTTTTAATCTGCCCGAAACAGGGAAAACCTATTTCGTTTGAGTGTGTGTGTGTATATACATGCGTGTATGGGGGGGGGGGGGTGTCGATTTTTCTCAAGCTAATTTAATTCTTCTGATACACGACTCCCCTTACCATTTCACAATGTGTCCATGTGTTTCCCCGTGGTGGAGTGGGGGTACCAAGGTAACATTTTTTCGTGTATAACATATAATCTAGTGGTAAGGAAAAGTTTTCTGGTATAGTCTGTGGATGCAACATCAAGTTTGATAAATAAAGGAACCCTTGTCCTACAACGGAAACCTTCACTATATTCAATGCATCTGGAAATGTAGATCTGATCAAGCTTTCGAAGCAAGTACTGGTAGTGTTCAAACACATCCCTAGATGCACCATCCATGCAAATTTTGTCATCATAGGGCTTACATTTAGTTACTCGGAAATGGATCTGCATGCTTCAAATACTTTAACCCGCGGGTCACTCATCCATGCATGCAGGTCACGTCCAACATCCGAAACAAGTCTGGTAGAGTGCGTCACAAGATGCAAATCATACATGCATATTCTCTCACAAAAGCACATTCTACTTACGAACAACTTCTAAAACGAGACAGGCTTTTGACAAATAAGTTGATGATACAAGGATACCAACAGCCAACATTTCGCAAATTCATGGTGGATATGATGAAATTGTTTAAATAAAATCTGTCGTTAGGTCAAATATTGACTAGGCCTAATGTCTTTTATACAAAATGTTGGGCCGTTTGTTTCAAACTGAATTTTCTACGGATTTTTGTTTACCCGATCATGACAAGAAGCACAAGGCGAATGTAACCGGTCAACACGAATGCTTACTACTGGTCACGGTAGCCTAGTGGTAGGGCGTTCGCTTCCTGATGGGGAGGCCGGGGTTCGATTCTCGTTCGCCACGCCGCGTCAAACCTAAGATGTAAACATAGGTAGTGACTGTTCCTTCGCCAAGCGCCCGGCATTAGAAGTGAAAGTCACGGGTCTTTCGGATGAGACCTTAAAAACCGAGGTCCCATGTCACAGTAGGCGTTGGCACGATAAAGAACCCTGATTGCTCAATGTCCAGGGATGAGTTCCGAGTATAGGTCTAAAGAAGCCCTTCATCGGTATATGGTGACGTCTCTATATGAGTGAAAAATTCTCGAATGTGACGTTAAACAACATGCAATCAACGAATGTGACGTTAAACAGCATGCAATCAATCAGTCAACGAATGCTTACTCCTCCAAGGCACCTCATTCCACCTCTGTTTTCAGAGGTGGCTCTGTGTTGACTCTGCTCACAATTTGTATTGTTTAAATGGACTTTTGAGCATGATCGGTGTTCGTTATCTTCACATTTCATTAAGAATTTATCAAAATAGGCCAACGACTAAAAATATATGTGGAAGGCACTGGAATCCATGGTACTTAATTCCAAAGCATGACTGTTCTCATTAAGGCTTTTATTCGTGCAAATGGAAAGGGGGGGGGGGGTTACTACATAAGTACTACAAAGTAAAATATTATTCATGAATATAAAAAATATAAAATATTTGCAACATTTATCATGATAGTACTTGAAAAGACAAGAAATATAAAAAAAACAAAAAACAAAACAAAACAAAACAAATCAAACAAACAAACAAAAAAAAAACCCAGAGAGACAGATTGACAGTTAGACAAACAAACATCTATAGTCAGAAAAGGTCGTTTGAATTGTTCAGGGCTCTGTTGAGTCTAAAGATTCTATAAAAAAGATTCTATAAATCTAAATATTAAAAAAAAAAAGTAGGTCGGAGGTATGGAACTATGACATACAATTCATAGTGTTTTGTTGACATTTTTTTGTAATAAGCAAAATTTTGTGGGGTGTGTGGGGGTGTGTGTGTGTGGGGGGGGGGGGGGGGGAGAGAGGCAATTTTGAACATTTATAAATAAATTACGGGAAAACATGTTATTAAAGTCATGTATATCTACTTTCTTTAGACTTTTTATACATGGACGCGGAACATTGATTCATCCCTGTGCATAATGGTAATACCGTTTACGGCAATATACGGAAATGGTTACAGAAATACATTGAATTTTTTCCCCAATCTCTTTTTTCGCACTTCAAGGGCATATACAAGAATTTTGATTTATATAGGGTGTTCATTTCGAGTCAGAAAACTTTCCTCCTTATTATAAAACATTCTGACTATCATAACAAAACTATTTCATAGGGTAAGTAGCCATCAATGAAATACCTACATTTTTAAAGTGAATGTCTACTTTTCTTAAAGATTTTAAGACATGAAATCAAAACAATGCCTGAGCATGGTAACACAGGTTTACATGAATACATCTGAAACTTCAAACTTAATTTTACAAGGAGTGCCTCTTTGTACTTGTTCTAAATTAAACTGTATATTTCCTCATATAAAACTGAAAGAAAAAAAAACTACAGCATCCATATTTTTTCTATGACTGGATTCACTCCAGGATCTGTTTATTTCCCTCGCCATGACAAAGCCCATCCCCTCCACCCCAACCAATTACTTGGAAATTTCTTATCAATTTTCCTAAGTGTCATGTGAACACAAAGCTACAGTAATCAGACAGTTTAGTCATAATCTTCTCTCATCAGCTTTGGTGGGTATAACAAATAAACATTCTGGTGTACTAAAAAAAAAAAATGAAACTTTGATCTTGACCTTTTGACTCAAATTCGAATGGGAAAGTTCCTTCTCTGTAGCAGAAATGGTCTCAGGTACTCTATTGTGGTATCTACAACATTGGTAATTTGGTCCTTGACCTTTTCATCCTCAAATGAATTTGATTGTACTTCCTGTATTGAAAAGTAAATAACCATACAGTAATCCACCTGTGTCCACCTTTTGTTGCAAGTGCAAGCAAACACAAGTTACAATAAATATCCCTTGCAACTGTTGCAAGGGAAAAAATAAGCCTCTGTAAAATTTTGTGAACAAACTTATCTACCAAGTACTGTATTTAATTACTGACACAACACAATTGATAATATTTGATGGTAATTTTAATTAGAATGATATCTGTTCAAATGAACATCAATGGAACATCTTCAATTCTGAGATCAATTTCTTCAAAACGTGAATCATTGTCTCAAATATTTTTTGCTGGAAAGGGTAATATTCTGTCTGTTGATAAACTGGAATCTCAATTAAATATTTTTTTTACGTGACGTTCCTAAATATTTATCTATGCTAGAAAAAATTCCCAACCTGGGATCATAAACAACTTTTCCTTCAATTGAAATTTCTGTTGTAAAAATTACATTTGCATAGTTTTACAGTTTGTACATGTAAATAACCATAACATTTCCATTTGTATCTAAAATTTTAAAATGGATTATCTAACATGTGAGGAATAATCTTTTGCAAAGAACTTTTTCATAATTATACATGTATTTCCATTTTCAAAAATCACTACAAAATTGGTGATTATAAAAGGAAACAAGTTTTTTAATGGTACAAGTAAAACATTATGCATATACTGTACATGTATTTCAGTAAAAAAAAATTTACATGTAGTATAAAAATTTTTTTAAAAATTCCTTCACATTGGAGCTTTAATAACAGAGAAGTTTCATTTCATAACTTCTTGCAATTTCCTTTATTCATGTACACCTGAGTTTTTTAACAGACTAGGATAAAATTCTCTATTACATAAAAGATAAAACCTTAGATACTACAATGTATCCCCATACATTAAAACTGTTGACATTTAAAGGTGATGCTGCCATTTTCAATAATTTTTCTCCATGAAGTCAAGATGAAAAGAAATCTGCTGAGACAATCATATCACATGCACTAGTATAATCTAAAATGTCCTTGGAAAAGTTCCTGAAGTTCCTCAGTAGGGTCTGGTCCTTCTTTGTGTTACGTTTGTAGCGTTTTCCCCTGATAAGTTTATCTGCTAAGTAATGTAGCCAGAACACATTGGTCTGGGCATGAAATGCCTTCCAGTCATTTCTGAAAAAAGATTGAAGTAGAAATGGTGTGTTTTCAGACATGATTCTATGAGGATGGGAGAAATAAACAAAAGGGGCATTTAAGAGCCCTCCCTGAAAATATTCCCATATTTCATATTTGCAGATTTGCACGAGTCAAGTAGTTGAAAATTTGAAGTAAATCAATAAAATATACAAGTGAGGAAAAAAAATAGATGTAAGACTTATATTTAAAGAACTTAAACTTAAGACAATTTAACTTACTTGTTAAGCTCCCTCATTTTCCTGTAAATATCAAATTGATAATCTCCTGTTCCTTCAAATAGGCTCTCATCCGTGGAGAGATCAGTGTAGATAGTGCAGCCATCTAAATTTAAAAAAAAATTATCAATTTACACAACAGGTTCAATGTTAATATTTTTTGGTTTGCACAAGAGTTTTCCCCCTCCCATTCCACGGAGAGCAAGAGTTTTTTAAAGTGAAAGCATTCGCAAATCTATTTCCTTTACACCATGTCATATAGACATACACGTATATAAAAGCTAACAAAAAGCACTTACCCAAGAACATGTAATCATACAAAATTAGCACACTCAATACATAGCAGCAATAAATTAGCGTAATAATAATTGACCACATTTGGAGATTTCTTATATATGCATTTGTTTGAAAAATGTATGATGAATTGCAGACAAGAAGCAGAGAGAAAGGTTCTTAAATATGAATACCTCTTAATTTGGTACATTTACAGTAACTTGACACCTGTAAATCACCTCACCTTTATCAAGCCTAGACAAGGTAAAATCTATAATGCTGACATGGACTCCATGTGATTCCACTTGGAATGTCTGTCCAAGCACAACGTACTCATGAACTTTGACCCCTGTTTTCTTGACCAATACATTTCCCCAGTGAAGATCTCTATGTTCAAACTGGAGAGCCTCCTCAGCGACTGCCAGGGAAAACATCACTTGTTCAAACACACTCTTGGCCTCAAAGATATTGTTGAACTAAAGAAGAAAATAACGAGACATATTCTAGACAAATAAATTAAAAATGCAGGGGTTTAAAGGACAGTTGTCCAAGGTCTAGGACCTAAAGTTTATGGGGTGGACTGGCTAATTATCACCCTCATATAGTCTGTCGGGCTAGTGGTATTAAGCATAAAAAAAACATTTGAATAGTACATGTATAAAAATAAAAGCATTTCTGATGGAAATGTGTTCTTTTTATTTCTTATTAGTTGGTTCAGAAAGTGCACTTTAAACACTACCTTACTCTAAGAGTACAAGTCACATCACGATTGCAAGATTACAATTAGTGTAATACAAATATGAAACATGTTTAAAGCATCAGTTTGATTACCTCAGATTGTCAGCATGATACAGAAGTCATACACATTGAAAAAAAAATATTTGTTGCCAAATATATGGCTTCCTTTGGATATTTTACTCAGCATGATCTAGTCTTTCACTAAAAGTCAATTCATAATGAAATTTTTGTTTTTATTTGAAAAGTTTATAAAATATTTCCATGTACCTGAGCAGCTTCTAGGTCCTTCCCTCCATCAGCAAACTCAAACATAATAAATAACTGATCTTCCTTAAACATATCTGTAATAAGAAACATACACCCATAATAACATTTTATAAAAGTGATTCAAACTCCCTAAGCATGCTAAGACTTATATGTTTAATAATACAACATGAGCCAGTGTAATTTTCTATCACTATCCATGTTGAGAAAATCTGCATCAACTTCAATGGTTTTGCATTCATCGATGTCAAAATATTTCTCAAAAATTTGTCTAAATAGTCAAGCTCAATTTACATATTTCTCTAATAGTCTTTTAATTTTGTACTATGTTTAATCTATGCACATGTACATGTCTTACTAATCATGCAATGTTAACCTCTACACAATATTTTTCTTATTAGTATTATTTGGCCCTGTTGGATAATTCAGCCCAAACAAGATATGTAAAATATTCAGAAAGCTATCCTTGGACTAGAAGCTTTATAACAAAAGCTGCAATATCAGTTTAATTATTAACTTATGAATTCTTTGAACAAAAAAGTATTGGAACTTTAAGCTCTCTGACCATGCTTGAAAAAAGAGCAAATACCAGAATGCTATGTAGGTCTCTATATCAAATTAAATTAAAGCCATGAACTGACAGGCAAAATAGAAAAAAAATTTAAGCCATGATCAACTTTGTTCAGGCTAATATGTTGCTTGAATTATTATAATATCTTACCTTATTCGAGTAAGTAAAATTGAAATTATGGTTCTCAGACCAATTTTCTTAAAAACAGATTAGGGAGGCATATTTTTTCCCATTTTTATCCGCGATAAACTATATATGAGAAGCAATTTTTTTTTCCAGAATTTTCTATAAAATTACAATGAAAATTCCTCCTATATAATAATACAGGAGTCATTCTGTAAATATATTAAAGATCTCACAAAAATACGAAATACATGAATATGCATATTTTTCAAAATTTCAATATTTTTCATGGAAAAAGTGTCTATGTCTGATAATGTAAATATCCATTCTTATTCTAAATGGCTACTGGAAACAAAAATTGCGTGCAACACTACAAGGAAATGAGGGTGGAATTTTTTTCCTTCGATAAGTCTCCATATTAACTTTTTATTTTGTTGAAAATATGAAAAAATTGCAATGTGACTACCTCAAAACAGAGGCCCAAGAACCATAATTTTAATTTTATTTAGGCTTATCATTTTACCTGGATTATCATTTTCTGAACCCTTTTCATCATGAAATGTATTCCATTCACTTAAAAGCTTAGATGGATATCTTCCTTTTACACACGAAACCCTGAAATAAAAAAAAGTTATAAAACCCATTTTTTTACTTAAGAGAGCTATAAGCAGAAAAATGGATAAGTTGTAGTGTTTGTATTAAATTTCCTTTAATACATTGACCTTTATACATGTAATGTTGATTTACTTAATTTCTTTCAGAAACACAGACTGAAGAAACTTCATGTACTTGTGCATTTACAATGATCAATTTGTGTTACATTTTAGAAAAAAAACATTACCTACACAACAAAGCCCCAAAACACGTATAATTATTATATTGAATAAAACATGCAAATTACCTTTGGACTTCACAAAAGTTCTGTGTGTAGCACATATCATTCTCTCTTAGCAAACTCAATTCTCTGAAGAAAAAAAAATATTCAAACATTTTACAATTATAATATGTTTATACATCTTTATAGCTCATCATTTCTTGCAAATTTTTATACACTGCAAGATAAGAATTGCTTGGAATTTTATTTAAATAGCCAATTATCAAATCTAAAAGAGATCATACATACACAGAAATAACAATTTCTGGTAAAATCTCATCAAATGATTTCTGTTTCTCATCGTTGACCTCAAAATCCCCCTCAACTGGAATAATCTGGACAAAACAATTTCACATTTCATATGATGATAAATCCACATAATGATCCCAGGAATATAATCTAATTAATTTTCTTATTTTACTTGACCACAAATTTTTTTCTTACATAGATAATAATATTTATATTATAGATTCAACGATGACATCAATTCAATATTAAATTAAACAGTACACTTTTAAGGAACAGTCAGTAAATTTCTAAAAAGCAGTCTTGACTATCATATATATATATATATACATGTACATTTACTATATATAATATTACGAGCTATAGATTTTGTTTTGAACATGCTCAGCTAACCTTTAGGGCTACAGAGTTATTTCCCCTTTTTGTCCGGAAAACCTCTCCATATACGCCCTCCCCAACCTTTTTGCACTGCCTCATCATACTAGAATAAAAAAAAAATTTCCTTGTTTCCAAATAAAGAATAGGAAAAAGATATGAAATTTAAATGGGTAAGTGGACATGTGAAATTAGAATACAATTTATTTTTTAAGACCAAAAATAATTATATAGATATAAAATGCTTCTATCACTGAACAATTACTTATCACAAAATATTTTTGAGGGAGAAAGAGAAAAAAATTGATATTCCCTCATACTCACGTGCTACTTATACAGGATTGAAATGTTTCTATATCCTTCTGTTGGCACACTTCCAAAACTCTGGAGCAGGGAGAGGTTGGGGTTAGACTCTTTTTCCTCTGTGGGGTCAAGATATCCTGGAAATATATTTAATTTGACTTGAATTATATGTAGGATATCATCCTATGAATATGCTAAACTTGAAATGAATATATACATGTATGTAAAAAGATGAACAACATATCAATTCTGAGAATTGATGATTTTTCACATACCTGTCTACTTAAAACAATTGTATAAATCAGTATTTTTTTTACCAATTTGTCCATAAGATTTGACTTTTCTACTTTCAATGCTTTTGCAGAAAATATAAGTAATTACACCATGTCACATAAAATGGAAACAAATCAATGTTCAGACTAAACATGCTGAATGTATTTACTGCATTAAACTCACAAAGTGGGATCTATTGAGCAGACTCCTGTTGACTGACATGTCAGGACCACCCTCATTAATTGACATATCAGGATCTTCTCCACTGACTGGCACATCAGAACCTCCACTGGAAGAGAGAGATAAGTGAGCAGTGAAGAAATTGTCATCTCCAGAACTGGCCAGCATGAACTTCGTTACGTTCCTCTCATCCTCCCCTTCATCCTCCTGCTCCTCCTCTTCGCTGTTTTCCGTACTTTCTTCATCATTATCTTCTTCACTAATCTTACTTAAATTCTCATCAGAATTTTCTTCTGTATCCTCTTCTTCTTCCTCCGAATCATTGTCACTTTCATCATCTTCTAAAGATTCTGAACCCTCTAATTTAGATTCTGCAGTCACACATTTTAAAGAATTTTTCTCGTCAAAGCTACTAAATAGACTGTCTGAATGATTAAAATTTGACTGTTTTGAGGTCCGATGAGACACATGCATGGACAGAAAACTCTGTCTTAATTTCTCAAGTTGTACTATGCATGGGTTAACGGGACTTTCATTCTTGGAATTCTTTAACGCTGATTTACTGGTATTGCTGGAATCCGATATATTACATGATGGCACATTTGAAACACGGTCATGAGCATAAGAGCTTTGTTCCATATGAACAGATGGTGATGATGGCACATCTTCATCGACATGGTCAATAATTGATAAATTATTGATGTCGTTTGCTGAACATGTCCGCTTGGCACAAGGGGTACTAGTTTCTATTTTACTTTTACTTCGTAAATAACGTGGGGAAAATATTCCACCATTCTTGAGCTGACTGTTATTCTGAGCGGGGGACCCTGAGATCACAAGACTATAGTCATCAAACTCGCTGAAGTTTGTCACAGAGGAAAGAGAGTCTGACTTCTGATTGGTCTGAAGTTCTTCCGTTTTGGGGGCTCGCTTTCGTTTGCCACCGTATTTAGGTTTGTCCTCCACTGGCTCTTCCTTGTAGTTCCTGTCTTTTAGAGCTCTCCTTGGTCGACGTGATTGGAAAAGGCTGTCACTTCCTGTACTGGAACAGCTATCCTGTGGGTAGAAGACATTTCAAATCAAACATCTGGATAATTACTCAGTACACATTGGAAGCATCAAAAGAAGATAATGCTATTAGAGAAAATGCCAACCTAGTAATTGAACCTACAGTTCTACATAAAATGCATAAATTTAATATACACTATAACATAAAATGCATTTAATAATAACAACATTTGTATGTTTCCTTTTCTCAAGAAACTTTAAATGATGGGGAAATTTTCAAAATAATTTCCATATACATGTATCATTGATAAATGTAAACTTTTTGAAGTGATTTAAAAAAAAAGAGAAACATCACTTTTTGTTGATATAAAATAGGTCCTTAGCAATACATTGTAGTTTGCTTACCCCTTCAGAGCCAAGCTTTTTCTGGAGCAGCCTCTTGTTAGTCATACGTCCTGCATTCTCTTTGTTATAACCTCTCAAGCTTTTCTTTGTGCTACAAATTGTAACTTGATAATTTAAAGCTGTTACTTGATATGTTAAATTTCTTATGATCATTGTTCATGTAGAACTTTACTTTTTTAAAATTAAATTTCAAAACCAGAAAATCCAGGTTTGCGGTTAAAATTTTTATTTAAGAAGTGTCTCCAAATATACCACTTCACATGTAGAATTGCCTTGCATGGCTAATATTAAAGATAAAATATGTAAATGAAAATCAAATTATAAATTTTAAGGATTTTCTATACACCAATGAAAATATATTTTGGACATTGAGAAAATCAAAGAGTTCAAAGGTGTAAATACTGATTTCTTTTTCCCTTCATATTCAACATAGGAAACTGCCATTTACTCCCATGAATAGTGTTTAATGACAAAAAAGTATTGATGAATAAAAATCTTTGTTGCTTACGTAAATTGGGAAAATACTTACAAGAGAAGGTCTGCTTTAATTTATCTTGACCATATTTTTGTTAAAAAAATCTTGAATTGATTACAAATAGGATAACACAATGTAAATAAATTTTAATTTTTTTTTAATCATGTTAACTTTGGATCTAAGCACAGATCACTCTAAGAGCATAAAAATACCACAGAATTAAAACTCTTGTGTGCAGTGAATACTCTAGATAGACATGATAGAGGATTCTACAATAATAGAATAATAAAAATTGCTCTCACAAGTTTTAGTGTGAAATAGCATGAAAACTGTGAACAATCTAATAATATATTGATGTTATTAATAAAAGCACATGATCATTATTCATATACATGTATACCTTCTGGTTATTGGTCCACTAAACAAACTGTCATTTATAGTGTCCTGGTTTGAGAAATCCAGGCTTGATCCATGAGAGCTGCTACTGCTAAAAACGCCAGCACCCAACTCTGTTTTTTTCTCGTCATCAGAACTCCAAATGTCTGCAGCTATGACCCTTTGTCTGTGTCTGCCATAAGTTTTTATAGTGTTTCTCTTTGCTCGACTCATTTTGCCTAAAATTATGAAAAAAATTTCACCATATCCTCAACACAAGGCTGGAAAAACAGGTAACAGTAGGTATAGTCTGCAGTGAGGTTCAGGGTGCATTTTTCTCATTTAGATTTATTTCTCTTCATTTTAATACATCTTATAAGGTACCAAGAATGCAAGGCATTCTAAATTTATTTACGGTAGACTTAACCTGTTCCCAGATCCATAAGATCTGTCCGCTCATTGCACTATCACCTAAGATTTACATCATTCAACTGATAAGAGTTAGTCTTGCACACCACTTGACTAATTAGGGTTAGTTTTGCACCCACCTAAGAGATCTGGGTTAGTTCTTGCACAAGTATTTGACTGATTAGGGTTAGTCTTGCACCCATCCAAGAGATTGGGGTTAGTCCTTGCACACTATCTGACTGATTAGGGTTAGTCTAGCATCAGCCCGAAAGATTTGGGTAAGTCCTCACATACAACCCCCGAGATTAGGATTAGTGTCTTGTTCTTTCAATTATTGAAGAAATTCAGGTGCATCTGTAATTTTTTGCAAAATCTTTCACACCTTCTTGGTTTGTTCACATGATAAAATGGTTAAGTATGAAAGAAACGGCACTAAGCAAGTGCTTCATCTGTTCATTGACAATTATTCTTGACAATTTTTCACTGAATAAACCAGAACACAGAACAATATTTATTGACATTTTTTTTATGAATGACGTTAAAAACTTTGTTTAAAAACAACCGTAGGCCTACAATTCGATTTTGAAGTCACAAAGGCCCAAAACCTCATACTAGTCAAAGTCATACTTTTATTTGATTTTGAGCACTCTTATATATCATGTATATATATTGAACTCACATATAGTGACACTTAACGCTTTATTCTACACCAGTAAGGACATTCTGTATTTACTTTAAGCATGTTAAGGTAGCACCTGAGCCTAAGCTGATTTAAACAATAAAATGCTTTCTTTGGTGTTAGGACAGGAATCCGTGTCTTAGCTGTTGCAGAAAAAATACATAACCCGCGTAAGCGGACTTTTTGAATTTTTTTTCTGCAATAGCTGCGATGTTAATTCCCATACTATCAAAGAAAGACATTTTATTGTTTATATTTATATCTTCATAAAAAAAAAACATTCAAAGTAAATTAAATATGTTAAATATTGTATTATAGATGTGTATGTTATTGTATGCATAATTGATGGAAAAGCCGTAGCTTAAGGGCTTGCTTAGTGTTGTTTACTGACTGATTAACAGCAATGTTTTTTTTATAAGAAATAAAGGAAATAATATTCAGTGGATGTAAATATGAGGATAATTAATGTCAGTTGTGGCATTTGAAATTCAACAGTTCAATGACATCGGATCAAAATGTCGGGTATGGAAATAAAATTATAAACAAGAATGAAATAAATACGTCATTTGTATCTCTGATGTTAACCCTCGATGTAACTTACATGGAACACAATCTAAATATGCAAAACGTTGGTAAGGAATAAGGCTGCAATCATCTGATCATGTCGATCTGTCAATTTCTTACAACGTGAACGTCACTTTTTCTTTAGCCTATTTATCTTTTAAAAACGCTTTTAAATGCATAATGCATGATTGTGAAAACTTCTTTAACGCGTAAAACACACTCCTGTACATCTGTGTGTTAAAAAGCTGAGAAACTCAGAAAGGTATGAAATCAAATGACAAATGTTTTCATTTTCATTTTTTCCTTCCTTTCAAATCAAAAATGGCGGTGCTATTTGTTACATCATACATGTTTGCCGATTGGTTGAAAATTATCAACTAAAATCAGATTATGATGATGCACTACGGATTTCCGGGAAAAAAGAGAAGCCTTCATGACCAACCTGTTGATGCATTAACTGAAAACTTCCTTAACGAATGAGTTTTACTTGGACTTGGGATGAAAGAATAATGCTTTCAAAAATAGAATAATTCATAATGGACATCTCGGGAAAACATTATGTACAGATCCTGGCTTTCTATTTAGGAAATTCAAGGAGTAAATTACATAAACTTGTGGTTTAATACTCTTTAAAGTCTCCTTAGACATTTAGTGTGCAAAAGTTTAGCAAAAAAAAGCATAGGGTGAGTTTATATAATGTTGTTTCTATCAGAGCATAGGTAGTATTTCACCATGTAATGTATACCTTTTTTCGTTCGTTGATTAGAGTTGTCTTTTCTTTAATTGTGATTTTGATAGGTGGATCCAAGATTATTGGAGTAAAAACGAGCTTTTTGGGAATGGTTTGCGTTACATACAAAATACATAACATGACATAAAGCTACATGAAAAGTAATGTACTGAACCCCCCCCCTTTCACCCCTTAACATGCCAAGAAATACAATAACGCATTTTTTTCCAGTCTAGATTTAGGGTGAATCCAATAAAAACTTAATTAATTAACACTAATCACTGATTAAAACTAGGAAACTAATTCTTATTATATTTTCTTTGAGCATGTTGAGGGTGTGTGTGGGGGGGGGGGGGGGCTTTCCATATATGATGTGTGCTCAAACACGCAAAAAAGCAATAAATTAAATAAAACCTTTAACAAATGTTTGAAACTGCGAATTTAAGTTTTCTTTTGTTATTAGAAAGCAAAGGTCGGGTTTATGGATGACACGCATAGCTGAGCGGATTTTTTATACACTATAACTTATTAATAGTACTTTATTCCTAGCATACCATACCTATTTTCATATAATCGGCACTTAACGTTAACTTTTATTACATTTAAATTAAAATCAGAATGTATAGATAATATGTCAGGTGCTAAGCACGCAATATTTAAACATTATTTTTGCAATGCTTTTCCAAGGTATATAGTTATAATTCTGCATGATAATTAATACGAGTCTGTTTAAGTATTTTTGATAGATGAAATATTCTAGTCGAACATTTTAAAAACGCGTTTTTGTGATTTGTGAGCGGGATGTGACTGATTTGATGGAGTTTGGTCTGATTTTGATCCAAGAATGACATTCAGCCGATGCAAAATGATTTACAATGTTAATATAACCAGGGACCTATAGTATATAGGTCCCTGATATAACAAGCTAATTTATCAATGTGAGGGCCTGTGGGTACCGGGGGTTCTGCGCCCCCACCCCCAATAGAAAACAAAGGTAATTAATAATAATGAAAAGACGTGCCTCTTCAATGATTTTGCCAGTGAACATGTAAGAAATAAATCTAATTTACAATTATACGCCCCTCTCCCGAAAAGGGAACGTCAAATTTCCCCTTTTCTTTTCAAAAGTTTCTGTTAGACCCTCCCTCACCCCTCCCCAAAGAAATTGTTTCCTGTGGACCGGTTTTTTTTTTTTGGTCTTGTATATCTTTCAACTGATTTAATAGTAGACATAAATGATCTTGATATATAAATATCATAGTTTAATTGTCCCTTCCATTTTTTCTCTAGGCCTCTTTCATGTATGTCATGTATGTTGCACGCTATTGTTAGATTGTAAATAATTTTGTAGATACTCTGTAGAATGTCTGGAACCAGCGCCATAGCTCTAATACAGGGCGCCAGTCGCGGAATCGGACTTCAGTTCTGCAAAACCCTGTTGCTGCGCAACTCTGCAACAACCGTAGTAGCAACGTGCCGTGACCCAAACTCATCAAGCGAGCTGGCTCAACTGAAGGTCAACAATGATCGCCTCCATGTCTGCAAGTTAGATGTCACGAAAGAAAATGATATTTCGGACGTTTCTAAATATGTAACAGAAAAATTCGGTAAATTAGATTTGCTTATCAACTGTGCAGGGATGTTGCATCCGAGTGGAAAGGGAGAGACAAGTCTTAGAAGTGTTGATGGACAGGTAACAGTTTGTTTTTTTGTTTAATTGCTTATATACTGGTTGATATCTATTCATGTAAACCTCATATATACTTAGAATATTTCAGACCCGTTTAAGAACCGAGGGGGGGGGGGGGTTGCCGATATAAGTACTACAAATGTAAAACGAAGTTTTGTAAATTGGTTGAAAATCTTATATACTCTGCCTCTTTCGGAAGTTATTTTCATATACATGTATACTGTCGACATGTAAAAGAAATTAAAATCCTTGTTTATTATTTTTATTTGTTTTTGCTGAATTGGTTAATGAATACTCTTTTACTCTGGTACTTGAAAGTTTTATGACATTTTCAGGATTTGCTTCTCACACTGCACACAAACGCAGTTGGTCCACTGTTGATGGCAAAGATGTTCAGTCCACTACTACTGAATGGTAATGGTCAGTTTGGTGTCTTATCCGCTGACCCTAAGGCCACACACTGCGGCATCATCGCCAATATGTCTGCTAAAGTCGGCTCCATCACAGATAATGGTATAATCTAAAGCTACCTTTAAAAACATGTATATTATTCACCGTTTCTGTGAAATACTAAATTTGTTTTATCGTTGTAAATGACTAAATGTATAAAGTTACCAGTACAAAATTAAAGGAATAAACAATCGGCATTACTTTGCAAGGAACATTGAAATAAATGTTTATCTTATATTGTAATATCAATACTTTATCTACAATGCATAGAAAATATATTTAGCAATTCCATCTACATGTATGCGAGTGTATATGAACTCTGCATGGCATTTCAGTAATGAATGTTGCAATTCATCAAAAAACCTCACAGACTGGTTACTTTTAATTAGAATAACTTATTTTGTCATTTAAACTTAAAATCAATATCTTGCACCATTTATGAAAACTTCTGTACATGACTGTGTCAGTTTCTTCAGTAGACTTTTAATTCTTGAAAACCCCATAGGTATATTATCACAAAATGATCCAGCCCATGTTGTATAATTTTTTATTTCCCCAGGTCTTGGAGGTTGGTACAGCTACAGAATGTCTAAAGCAGCCCTCAATATGGCCACCAAAAACCTCAGTATAGAATTTGGACGAGGGAGGAAAAAGATTATCTGTGTATCGCTTCATCCTGGCACAGTAAATACAGACTTGTCCAGACCTTACCACAAAAATGTGCCAAATTTATTCACCACTGAATACTCTGTTGACTGTTTGTTAAAAGTAATAGATTCATTAACTGTAGAGGACTCAGGAAAATTCTTCACTTATGACAGGACTGTGTTGCCTTACTAAATTTGGCAGTACAAATGGTTTACGAATCTCACATATTTTCATATACTTAAAACGTGATTAAATTATTCTACACGTACAGTCATGTATTTGTGTTTGTTTTGATACAAATTAAGCATCCTCTACAGTGTCTCAAATTTTAGAAGGGAATCCATCGTCTGAAATAGACCGACAGAGCATCTGTATTTAAATTTAAATGACAGCGTCAAAGGCATGGCTTAAACAAATAAATATACATTGAGATAATTCTCTCTTTTACTTTCTCAATATTTCAATGAAATGTTTTAAATGTCAAATATACACGTTCTATGAACAAATGATACTTCACTCTACAGCCTCACAAAAAAATGACAATACAGAGTAGGGACTGGATTGTACACAGATGTCTATTTTGAATCTTTCTTATTTTGATCGTCTTTTTTACTTCCATCTTTAGTCATGGAACTAACAGCGCTCTGTATAGCTTCATCGTGGGGGTCCACCCCTGGGAGGTTTTCTAACACCTGCTGAAGGAAGGCGGGGTCATTCATCACATCTGAATAGTCCTCATCTGCCTGTTGTGGTCAAAAATAAACAACAGATGAGAAAAAACAATGAAATTAAAATTGGTAAAGGCCAAGAGTCAATCAGCCATGATTCAAACAAGCAAGGTCAAGAGTCAATCAGCCATGATTCAAACAAGCAAGCTACCATACTATGACTGATGCAAACACAAACACAAAACTTTGTGCTTCACTTGTACAATTTACTAATAATTAGTAATCAGAGGCAATATTTAATATCCATGAACCATGAAAAATAACACTTTATGATTATTACTTGCATCAATAATAATGTATAGTGTATATAATCAATATATCATTATAAACATACTGCTTTTTTATCATCGGCTGACTTTTCTTCATTATCGACATCCATTGGAGCTGGGGTATTTTCAGTTGTCTGAGCAGCTAAAATAACCAAAAGAATAAAAATTATAAATTTGAAATTCCTCTGAAAAATGTATAACAATTTCTCGCTTATAAGAAGATGGGTGAACATGACGAGCGAAAAGCCTATAGTGTGACAAACATGAAGGTGAAAAATTAAATTTTAATTATATCAAAAATTTCCTTGATATTTCATCCAACATTAAAATATACTTTATGTAAAATCTCTACAATCGGCAAAAATTGAAATTATTTGCTTATGAAATATTATACACACACTAAAGAGGGCAAAAAGAGTCATTTTCTCACACTTTAACACTAATTTTCGATATGAGTGGGTTTTCGCTCCATTTTTTTGAAAGTTAATCCTCAAAGTTTGCATAAAAATATACATTTTTTGGTTTCCAAAAATATGGAGTAAAGACCCACTATACCTTAAAAATATACTTTTTATGACAAAACATTCGCGTCTTTTCGAGAAATACTTGAAGTCCATTAAGTCAAGGATCACATCACAAACATGATTTAAACACCACTATTCATCAGAACTTGTGTAGTCTAGTGGTTAGCGTGCTAGTCTCAAAAGAAAATGATACTCAGGGTTTTTATTGCTAGGGTTCAAACCACACGAATACCACATTATTTTTTAAATAAAAGAATAAATTTTGCCAAGAAAATTTTCCTCAGAAAAGTTTTGTTTATGGAAGCTATTGGCTTTCTGCATGCTATGTTCACCCATCTCCTTTGTTATCTTTCAAATTATCAGTTTCATTGATAGAATGTGATTACATTGCATTTTATTCTGAATGGTTGCTTTATGGATATAATTTCAGTTTATTCATCAGCTGAAATGTACAACACTGGATAAATTGAGATTCTTGTAATTCATCTCATCATTTGGATCAGATTTACTTAAGAATATTGTGAGTTATTATTAAATTTTACCAGAATTTGATAGTGACATCTGCATGGCGTACGCTATCTGTTCCTCCTCTGTCATTGAACCAAAGTCTGGAACACTTGGCGTAGGCTGATCCCCAGTCTCTTGTTGTACTGACATTGCCAAAGCCTGCTCCAACATAGCTTCTTCATTGTTTCCTTCATAATCAACAAATAAATTAATTTATATTTTTTGCTTGTTTTTGTGTTGTATGCAGCAACTGAGAATGGCAAAGCTCAGGAAGAGTTCTGCATTCTTGCTCTGTAAAATGAAATTTACGTAAATTTACTACATTAAATGAATTAAAGTGGTGTTTACCTCCTGCTTCCGTTGGCTGAGACGTGGATTCAGCTGGAGCAGCCGGATTAGCTTTCTTAGCTTCATCTTCCTGTCTGGCTCTCTGCTCCTCCATGGATACACGTAAAGCCTACAAAACATTCAACCCTCCAAACAATCCACAAAATCATAATCATTCAACAAAAGACATGTATTTAAACGATGTATTCTTTGTTAATGCATGTATAATAGTTGCAACATTGCAGAAAAAATATATGTTATTTTACACAATATGATCTTTCAAATTAACATTTAACAAGCAAGTAATTTTACACCCATTATAAATTAATCATGATTTTTCTAAGATTTTGTACAAGTTATTACCAGTGCTAACTCTGGATCTTCATTTGGATCCACTCCAAATTCAAATCCAACAGCTGAGAGTCCAGCTCCAGATCCGTCCTCTCCCACAAGGATCGGGGAGTTCATGAGAGCCTCTGACAGCATGGGACCAGGAGGGACTGTCACCAAGTGGCAGCTGTAATGTCATCATAAAAGTATAAAACAGCTGATAAAACAGCATAACTCCTGTACTAAAGAAATAAATCTCTTTTCACCCCCCCTCCCCCCAACCCCTTCAATGAAATTTAATCCAGCAAGTTTTTATGGTAAAAATACTTTTTTGGGGCACTTTCAGTGAAGAAGAAATCTCTATGACTGTACATAAACATGTATGTAGGATTGAGAGAATAAAGACAGAGCAATTAAAGAAATTGAACAAAGCACTGAAAATTTGATTGATTGGGAAATTTAAAACACTAGTACAAAGACTTGTGAAGTAAAGTCTGTCTACCTGTTTCCGTCTTTTCCATTGATAGTGTTGATAAATGTGGTTAGCTTATCTGTATTTAGTTGCTGAAAAATAAAAATTTCACAGAGTAGATGAAAATATTTTCAAAAAATTTCCATGCTGTTTTGATAAATTTGAGAATTTGTTAAAAATGAAAGCAAAACAAACAATATCAAATGTTTATATAATGTATATCCATGTAGTACTTCATCAATAATACTACAATACTTTGAACAACAAATGAGTTTTGATTTAGAATTCCTTTGAACTAAGGGTTTGATCATCTCAATAAAAAGATTCTACCTCTTCACCAAAATTAATAATGTCAATGTTGACTTTTTCTTTCTTCAGCTTCTTTGCCAGCTTCACCATCTGAAAATACCCAAGCAAATAAATCTGAAGACACTGAGCAGCTTCAGAAATACCATACTGAAAGATAAATATGGGAAAGGAAACATTTTTTTCTACTTACTCTGAAAACTAGAAAACTGACCAGTCAGGAAGGGCCCCGCCGAGGGATAGAAATATAAGAGTGCAGCTTACAGAATGAGAATTTTAATTGATTACAAAAATTTAAAAATATATGAAGAAGAATATGCAATAACAACTGTATTTATAAAATTTCAAGATAATTCCTAAATATCTAACAACCTGTAAAGAGTATCCCTGTACTTACATAAGGCAGTAAAAAACATCATATCTATAATAACTCAATTATATGTATATTCAAACAAGAATAAAGCATGTGTTTTCAAATATCACCCAGGCTTGACCTTAACTTCAAAACAAACATCAGTTGCAGACAAAGGTTAATTTATCTTAAAGTGACAAATAAAGATAAAGCCTGGAAAATTTTCTGCCCAAGACAAGATAATTAATCCCAAGGGATTCATTGTACTGCTCTCTTATCCCTTTCTTCCAAGTTTACAATAAGAACTCTTTCAGTAATGATAAAATGAGTTTATTATTGGACTACCCGTTAAAATTAATAGTATTCTTGAATTTACATACGGCAGCCAAAAAAAAAAAAAAGAATAAATAAATAAAATAAATAAAAAAAAAAAATTAAAAAAAAAACATATCTTTATGTATATCTTGTTTTTAGAATTCAATAAAATCATAACTCTCATTGTAGATTTTACCAATATAAAGTATGAACATCATTTAAATCCACATTTCAGAGAATGTAAACATCATTCAGAATTGACCTTAACTTCAAAACAAACTTCATTTGCAGACAGAGGTGTTAATTAATCTCAATTTGACAGAAACAGATAATGCTTTGGATTTTCTTCAAGAGGAAAGTTAATTAATCCCATGGGACTAGTTGCAGCTTTCATAGTTTACAATTGGAACATTCTCAGCAGTTATCTCTCTTTGCCCTGGCATTCATTTGAATGTAAAGTTAAGGAATCTACCCCACCACCCCAGTTCCAAACTGGATGACATAGAGAACCAAACTTAGCATCAAAATATGTCTTACTGCCTCTTCAACCAACATACCAAATTTGAACTTAATTGGTCAACTACAAAAAAAGTTATTAGAAAAAAAACAGAAAATTTGTGGACGGAAGAATGACAGACGGACAGACAGACAGAGTGATTACTATAGGGCACCCGCAAATCCTTGCGGGGCCCTAATTAATTTTCATCAAGAAAACTTTCCCAGCCTAGTGAGAGAAGTTATACAATCCTAAAACAAATCTTTACTATATTTTGTCTCGGGCTACTGCTTTAAAAGTTAAAAGACTTGAAGTTCATGGTATCACATACCAGTCAGGGGTGAGACTGAAATCTGTCATTCTGAAAATGACGATTACTAGTCATAAAATAAAATTTTTATTATGACTACAACTTGTCATTTTTAAGAAAATGACAAAAAACAGTTATAAAAATTTAGAGAGTTTCTAGAATACCGAGTTACTTCTCTTTAAAAATGTTAGATTCACCAACCGAAAAAAGGACAGAAAACATTTCTCAAATACAGTTGACTACATCACTGGTTATGTTGACAGGTCAAAAGACTCAAAATTCCCAAACAAAAATAAGAGTGAAAGAGTTATTTGTGAATCTATTTGTCCAAAATAGCAAAGAAGACAAAAACGATGATATTTCATCTTTTTTCCAAAATGGAGGGTCTGGGCGCACTGAAATATTTTGCTTGTTGCACAGAGCGCACTACTTTTTTTTATGATCTTAACTTTTTGTCATGTTTGTCAAGACTTCTCTCTACAAGTACTCTCTACAAGTACGCATTCTTTCAGACGGTATACTAAATGTTTTTACAGGGCTAAAAGCCATGTAAAAGTGGCGCATTAGTTCTCCCAAAAATCGACATTTTACCACTAAAATAATAACTGTCACATTCCATGTTGATGTTCTAATGCACATGGTCGGAAGTAATTACTGACCTGGATGAAATGAAACACTCTTCTTTCAGCCTTAAATTCAAAATTCTCTTTTATATAACCAGGGTAGTAGAATTAGGTTGAAAATGAAAATATGACGATAGTCATATACACAAAAATGACAAAAATACGTAGTAAGTAAACATTACAATTATCCACCACTTTTCAGAATGACAGATTTCAGTCTCGCCCGACTGTATACCAGTACTAGGCCATCTTAAAAAAAAAATGTTTGCTTACCCTCTCCCTACTCAGGATTAAAAAAAATGAGTAGTTAATTCATGTAGGTAGGGGATTTTTTTTTTTTAATTCAAAAACACTTCCAAATGAGAAGTTAAGATATTATATTAGTTGGGAAAACTTCAGAATGTATGGAAAAATAATTTTCCTGAAGGTTGAAAATAAAATTTTGAGTCAGGTCATTTATACCCGGTATTCAGTCAGGAGAGGGGTAAACAAATATTTTTTTAAAGATGGCCCTATGTACAGCTGTACACTATTCATCTGCTTTCTCTTGATATACGAACAACACTGTTGAATTACTCTTACCTCTTTTTCATCATCCTCAATAGGGCTGCCAACAAAAACCACAATCCTCATTTTGTGGTTCCTTCCTTGTCTGTGCTTTAGTGCTAGCTACAAAAAATAAGACATAATATAAAGCCATTACTTGTATGTCTTCTATTTAACAGTAAAAAAAAGTTATTTGATAAGTGGATGTTTGATGTGTATTTAATGACATTAATTTTGATATAAAATCCGTATTAAAATGTTGATATATAAAATGTTAAAAAATTGATACTTATTAATTAGATGAAGTAATTATTATTATTACATGAGCAACTTTGACTCCAGTGTTGAACTTGATGTTGCCTTTGGGCTGTACTTGATGCAATTTACTTAGAAGACGACCCACATCTGTTGTCAAAGTAACCAAGACATCTACAGAACTGAAAGCAAACCATTATTTCCACATCATCAATAATATCAGGATTAAAAATCTCTTCATAAAAGATTTGTACTTTAAATACAGCATTATTGGGAGTGAAACAGTATACTGCAGTACTGATTCATTGTGATATTTATTGTCAGTTTCAAACACAGTATAAATTGTCCATTTTCAGTTTGGGCCACATTTTGATCAGGACAGTTATTCAATTAGGTTTGTCATTTAATATTTCATTAAAACACACTTAAAAGCATGATTAAATTTTAAAAACATGATTTATGAAAACCAACACTCGATCCAATCTACAGGTAGTCAATGTCTTCTAGTCAATTTGCAAGGAAACTAGATTATTGCTTATAGTGAAAAAAAAAAAAACACAAAATTAAAACAATTTTGAATTTTGTTTCTTTCAATCAAAATGTATCAAAATTAAAGGTACCCTGGCAAAATTATACAAGACATATAGTACCATGATAATTAAGTTCATCCTTACATCATATAAACCATAGTCAGGGTTTAAAATTCTTTGAAATTCACCAACAAATACATGTATAAACATGTACCTCCCCATAGAAATTAGTCCAACATTATTTTCAGGGTTGGAGCGAGTTTTGGAATGACACACAAGATTGACAGCATCTTGTTGAGCCTGAAATCGTGTTGGAACAAAGTCTCCATTCCTCATATAATCACTGCTGTCAACACTGTGAAAGAAAAGGCAGTCTTGTTAAAAACTAAAAGAGAAGTCTGTGATCAGCATTTAATAGTGACAGCATCACAAAACACTGCTTGCACTGCAAGCTCTAATGACAATGCCTGGGAGAAGAGAAAATTTCAGACTTTGCACATTGATCCAAATATTTTTCTTCCTGCAGTAACCACTGCACCCACAATTCTTAGCGAATTGCATCTCGCCACAAACAATGTTCTCGCGGTTCAAGAAGTTCCAAGAAAAAATAAACTCACCTTGATTATAAATAGATATAAAACAGGGTTGTGATAAAGATCAAAGCGGCTAACCTAGCAACTAGGTGGTAGATATCTATTTCTATTGAACGGACAGTTAACCTAGCTGCTAAGTGTTAAATTTGGAATAAAAATACATGAAAAACTTATTTTTGGAACCAAAAAGAGTTTATTTCAAGCAAAAATGTATATGTAAATTTACATTTAATTCATCAATATGTAGAAAACAATGTCCTTTTTTGTTAAAATCGTGTGCTTTGCAAAGTTGTAACTAAGGAGGCCATCTTAAATTTGGTACTTAGCTTCAAATATTTATGCTATCTCTCGCTATTTAGCGGCTAGACTAGCTCTCCGTTCAAGAGCGTAGCTTTATGCAGATGCTACGTAGCAGCTGTTGAACGCAACCCAGCTAAAATAGTAGATTAAACGTTCTTAATTAAATTAGCACTGACTTCATAAACTTACATACGTCATGTGACGTCAGAGTCTAGACATAATAAATATCACGTGTGATTGGAAGAGCCTGAATTAAATTAAAACCAAAATGTGTAGTTCTGCGCTCACCCTTACAGTCACACTGTCGACATATTATGCATAAAATAATGAACAATTTCCAGTAAAGTGTCATTGAGGCACTATTCAGAGTCTTAAGCTTATTATTCATGTTATTCTGAGTTGATGACAAGAGAAAAATCAGAGCCCCCATCCTATCCAAAGAAAACAAAGACAGTGGTCGATGTTCAACTTTATTAAAATTGAAAAAATGTAACAAACAAAACAAAATCGTCAAAACAACAAGTAAGACTTTATTTTCCATAAAGTGCATTTTCTAACACTCAATTTAGCTTACTCATGACACCAATTCAATAGTCAAACGACTTATTGGTGTATTTCTGATCTATTCTTTCTCCGTGGGTATTTTATGTTATCATTTGAACATTTTAAAATGCAAATCCTGATTAAACAGCATCAACAATGAGAAAATAAAGGGCTAACTACATAACTTACCAAACTACTGTGCTTTCCAGAACCATTTTTGCCAGTTATGTCGACGTCGATAAGAATTATAATTCGGATATAACTGGAAAAGAATCAAAATTAATCACAACCTTTATTAAAAAAAAAATTAATTTATAAAAAATGTATAAATTTGTAATGTATAAAATAATATAAAATTGAATTATGGACATTTTTTCTTCAGTAAGTGAAATTTTTATAAAGTTCAATTTTCCGTAAAATTATTTTCCGTACTTTTTATAAATTATCCTGATTATCGCTTACTGCCTTTAAAAAAATTAGAATGTAATATATTTAAATCCATCAGACTTCATACAGCAAAAATGTTAAAATATTAAATAAGATGTAAAATAGATGTAAAATATTTTAAATGTATTACTTATTGCTTTCTAGATTAGATAAATCAGTGAATATTTTTTAGAATGATATAGGCGGCATGCAAAAGTAAATTTGTTCATGATAATGATTGCAATGACTGTGGACAACTAGTCAATTTGCCGTGATAATGGTGTTTTATCAAGTTTTGAACGTTTCAGAAGAATAGATCTGATAATGTCATCGATTGAAGAAGCGAAGGGCGATATCGCAACAGACGAGAAGGTTGTTATTGCCTCGTACAAACTCAAATAAACAGCATGAATCGTATAATAATATCATGATCATAACAATGTATATTGAACGATTATTCTTGTAACTTATTTACTTGGAACCATAGGGGCTCGTTTTTAGGATGATGTATTAAGTGATTTTCTATGTCTGCCTTAATATACATCTGTACATGATATACTGATTAAAATAAAACTTGAAAATTGTAGATTTAAAAAAAAATGTATTTCATCATGTTCAATGCATATAAAAAAGATACATGGGTTGACACTCCATTCAGCTTGGATTCCAGGGTGTGTCTCGGTTTATACTTGAATTTTATCAATTTCTACATTTTTCCTATTTGTGCTTGGTGAGATCTTGGTCATCTTACACTTGCTGTATAAAAACATACAGTGGACCAAAGCATGATATCAAAATCAATGAAAGTGAAGATTTCTAAATATAAACAATAGTTTATTTCCAATCAATTCTAAATAGTTAGGATTCATCACTCCCACCGCTTTTTTTATACTGCATGTTTTACACAGCAAATGCAACTCAGCAGACAATAGAATAATGTTATTCAATCATTTATGCAGAGTGTATATGGCTTGGATCTAAAGAAATCTGATTTTAATTAGATCAAATCTTGATAACTTCAACCAGTCAATCATCATTAAAATAAAAATAAGTTTTAGTTTAATGAATAACAATTTGCTTTGTGTCAAAAAATAGGGTAGTGAAACTCCTAAGAAAGTTCACAGAATGAAAGCAAAAAAGGACCAGGTAGATGAAGTAGACCCTGTGTACAAAAAGTTATCAGCAATAAATGGGGAGATTAATCGCATGTCTTTGAAGGAACTACAGGACAAGTTGACTGAATTAAAACTTGATGCAAGGTATTAGTATATTTGTCAAATCTTTAACGAGGTTCGCTCCTGAGCTTTTGAGCAGATTCTTATCTTAACCTATATTTAAAAAATTCTGCATAATGTTTTAATTCTTACAATAAATTTGGATTCTACAATGCCAATTTAACTATATTCAGTTAAAACTCCATGATTAAATTCCATACCAAACGCATTAAGTGAGGAACTATATTTTGTGGCGGAGGGTTTTTTAGAAGAAAATGATCATTTTTTCTCTTTCTAAGTATTTAAAGTATGTTAAGTTTGGATTCCTATATTTACATGCAGTCTGCACACATAGTTATTTTGTGCAGTGGACTGTATTATACTGGTCCTAAATTATCTATTAAATAAACTGTCATGAATTCTATCATCATATTTGATAAATATAGGAAATATATTGTGGAAATGAAGAAAAAATAGCCCTAATTTAAGCTTAAAATTAGCACTATTTTAGTAATATCTAAAAATTAACATCACAGACCCCCACTTTTAATTTTCTTTTCTGAATATATACAATACTTTTAACCATTCTTCTTAAGTTCAGTAAAATGTCATTACTTTCAAATGATTTTTTTGCTTGTTAAATTTTAATGCCAGAAAAATGAAAATGTTTGAGTGCAAAAAGGTCAAATAATTGAACATGCGGAGTAATTCGAAAATTTCTTCGTTGTTACAAATTTTAATGTGTCTATTTAAGATGAAATAAGACTGTGTTTGTTAACCATAATTTATTTGAACAAAAAATATTGAAGGAAAAACTTTAAAAATTGATTTATGTGTAAGACGTATTTACAGTGCAAAAAGGTCAAACTAAATGCTCTGTAGCACCAAAAGAAGCGCATTGACCCCCATTTTTTGTTTTGATTTTTAATAAAGCTATGTGTATAAATTCTAAAAATATACTTGATAAAAAATTCTCATTACTTTTGATGGCAGGATCCAACCTCCTTAATAATATTGTTTCAGTTTGGAAAGCACTCATTGTAAAAAATTCTTCAGAGTGTTTTTCAATAAGGGCATCTGCAAATATAAAAAAAAATGTAATGAAAAGAAATAATTATAGGGATATTTAGCTTAGTACATGTATTTGGAATGAGGACAGAAGAGGGAAGATATGTCTTAGTCTCATATACATGCAACAGTAAACATGGTAAAATGTCTGTTTGAATCTAGAATGTGTAAAGTACATGCAACACAAAAGGACTTATTCCCAGCAGATTTGCTAATCATTATTCTGATATGATTGTTAAGCTTTTCAGCTACCTTTCCTGAATATATAATAATTTTGATCATCTTTTAAAAGTTATGAAGTATAGAGAGGCACACCATATGTAATTACTTGAATATGTTAACTTTAAAGACATAGATCTCATTCTAAAGGGCAATTGGAGTATCCCTGTACTGAGAATATATAAAGTTAAATGATTTATTGGTAGCATGTCCTCATTTAAAGTGATTTTGTCTGTATCATCATGATCATTATATTGATTTAACCTAGGACTATACATGTAATATGATGTTTGTTTAATTAGAGGTTCCAAAGACATTCTACAGAAAAGACTGAAGATGCATTTCAAGCAGAGGAAGTTAATGAAAGCTAAAATAAAGCCACCTGTGGAATGTACATATGATTATTTAATTGTCATTGATTTCGAAGCAACGTGTCAAGAGAACAACTATAATTACACCCATGAGATCATTGAATTTCCAGCAGTGTTAGTAGACTGCCACACCAGAGAAATAGTAAGGACATAATTAACATCATAAACCATGGCCAAAATGTACTCCCATTCTGGCTGTGGTTAAATGAGACAAGAATTTTCCTAGCTCATTAAAATTTTGACCAATGCAAGTAAAGCATAGTCAGAAAATAACCTTTGATGAAACCTTTCATTATTCAATCAGAGTTTTCATAACATATTGTTTATTGTTGAATTCAATTGCTGCAATATAAACAGTTGTTTTCATTGGTTTTATAACATGCCATCACACATTAGGCATTATTATTCAAGATTATGAGACTTGATGTGTTCAAACAGCCGTGGGTAGGAGAAAGCTATGAATGGATTCTGGACCATGGCTTAAGACGATGGGACAATATATAGTTGTCCTGAACAAGAAATGAAAATTTTTCTTAGTAGCAGCTAATTTTGATTTGCTGATTTGGTTTCAAAATATTTTTTTTTTATTTTTAAGGTTGATGAATTTCATGAATACTGTAAACCTGTTCTTAATCCAAGATTGACAGAATTTTGCAGTAGTCTTACTGGTATTTCACAGGTTTGTTAGAAGGCATTATGATTCAGAATAAGTTTTATTAAAAACTCCATAAATACAAAACAATATGCAGAGACTTGGTTTCTCAAATTTTAACAAAAATGTCATTTTCTTTAAAATTTTTCTTAAAATATACCTTTTGCATCCCCCCCCCCCCCCCAATAAAGTGGAGTGCATGTTTAGAGTTATTTGTGTTCAAAATCAGCCTCTGCAAGAAAATACTGACACATTGCCAGTCAATTCAAAAATAATTTGTGTCATAAAAACAAACATTTGACATTGTTCAATGCCAACCAAAAATTTGTTATCTCCTAGCAATGAACTTTAAGGGGATATAGTAATGTGTATGGGTATCTGCCAATTGTTCTATCAAAGTGTCCTTTTTCATGTGTATCATTTAAAAAAAAATAAGTGCAGGATTTAAATTGGAAAAAAAATAGAAGAAAAGATTTGATGTAACTTATTCCAAAGTTGTTCAATTATGAATGTTGGTGCAAAACAGGGTCTTCTCAAGATTTTCAAGGTTCATTTCTGAGAAAACAACCTGCTTTTCACATGATATAATTTGTCAAATTAAAATGCATGCATCCTGATATCGTAGAATCTGATATGGTATAAAATAATTTAATATAAAATTTATTTTGAATACTAGTAATTTGTCTAAATTTTGTAATAAATAGGAAAAAAAAATACCACAGAAAGGTAATATCCTGGAAATTTTAATTAAGGTCCCTGCGATAAAAGTTTATCATGGCACACCTCAATGCATTTATCTTCCTTTTTCCAGAGAGTTGTAGATAAATCAGATGAATTTCCAGCTGTCCTTGACAGAATGCAGTCATGGATGACTAGTCATTACTTAGGAATACATCATACCTTTGCCATTGTCACTGATGGGTAAGTTACTATAGCAACTGTATTATGTGTAGACCGGAGGTGGATAGTGTGTCTTTCTATATTTGATTTTGAGTATATACAGAAGAGGAGTGGATCCAGGATTCTAGTAGTAAAGGAGTGTAACAGTTACTCAATTTTAACTTAATGCTAAATTTAACATCATCCATTCATTCTTTTACATAGGTACATGTATATTTTAGATGTATTGATCTTTTCTGGTTGGTATTTAAAGTAAAATGTAACTTTAAAAAGCTAGATAAGTAAAGAATATGCGATATCTATATAATCGAAGCACGAAATTAACATAAAGACATGACTGTCACTAATCTTGATCATAGAGGTCAGATGAATCAAATTTCATGAAATATAGTTTGTTGAAATTAATTCTTCCTTATTAATTATTAATTGAATCATGATGTTTATTTGTTTTTTAACAGACCATGGGATATGAGTCGTTTTCTTCAAATGCAATGTAATTTGAGCAAGATAACCTTCCCTCATTGGGGAAAAAAGTGGATAAACATTCGCAAAGCTTATTCAAGCCACTATTCTTGTAAACGTATGAACCTGGAAGAAATGTTGATAAATCTGGGACTTAAATTTGAAGGAACACAGCACTGTGGATTACATGATTCCAGGAATATAGCCAAGATTGCTATTCAGCTTTTGGAGGATGGCTGTGATTTGGTGAAAAACGAATTTCTGCATGTGGCACAACCTCCACCTGGGCCTAAGGGTTCCAGAGAAAATGGATCTTGGGGTGGTGACAATAAAACTAGGTCAAAGGAGGAAATTGAACAGAGACTAGAAGCACTTAAGTTAGAATCCAAGAACTTTGTTGAAGAGAATCAAGATTTATTGGAATACCACAAATTACAGTCAGCATGAATAGTTTTGTATGATTGTCTTTAATCCAAAGTGCTAGCAACTTGATGATGAAGATGTTTGGTTGTCTGATATGAAATGTTGAACATTATGTTTATGATGTTCTGGATACAGTGGATCTGGTGGCAAGAAATATTTATATTAGATAAAGGATGTCAAATGTTGCATTTCAATGTTGTCTTTAAATGTATGCTTCATTTGTGCATGTTGTGTCATTTAAGAAATTGGAAAAAAATATATCCTTTAAATACAACTCGAACTCAAATTTTATTGCCAACACTGTAGAGGATTAAAAATGACCAACACTGGCATAAACATTTACAATCCTCATATTGATGAAGTTCAACTCCCTTTAAGAATTTTTTGTTGCTCTAAAGGACACCAGGATTGGGATAGCTGAGGGGAAAAAATTGGAAGGGAATCTGTAAAGATGTCTCGAACATCCGTCAAATTTAATATAATCCAAATAATTACCAGTCTAACATCAGTCTATCATATATATAATCCAAACTAGAGGTACTGCAAGCTCACAGAATAATACCCCCATCCCCACCCCCACCCCACTGCATTTTTTTTAGTGTCCAAATTTTGACAATGTGACCTTAAACTTGCCAAAAAAAACCTTGGATAAAAAATGACACACCATCTGCTCACAAGTAATTTGTAAGTGAAATATGGACATCAATTGTTTTTCCATTAGGAAATTCTAGACCTGTCATGAATTTCACACTTTGACCTTGAATTTGCCACATCAAGCTTAATTGATTCAAGGTCATGACACCCCTCAAGTCATAAACCATCTTTGTACCAAGTATGGCTATAATGAGCTTCTACTGATTTTACATTTATATACAAAGTTAAAGTCTGGACGAGAATTTTATACCTTTTTTGCCAGTGACCTTGAACTTGCCAGAATGACTTTGGGTTGTGTTTGTGAGGCATGCTTGGGTCATAAGCGATCTCTGTACCAAATATGAGCTTCCAATGGGTTATTGCCACAAGAATTTTGTACTTTTCCTACCAATGACCTTGAACTTGCAAGAATGACATTGGGTGAAGGTTTTGACATGTCTTTGTTATAAACAATTTTTATATCAAGTATGAGTTTCTGATGATTCCACATTACAAAGTTATAACTTGGAAGAAAATTTTATACTTTTTCCATTAGTGACCTTGAACTTACCGAAATCACCTAGGGTGATGGTAATGACACACCCTCTCATCGTAAACAATTTCTGTACACAGTATGAGGTTCCAATGATTCTCCATTGCTGTTATAGCCCAAACAAGAATTTTATACCTTTTTTGCCTTTGACCTCAAGATCATGACACTACAGTGTACCTCTAGACATGAAAAATGTCTGTACCAAGTATGAGGTTCCATTGATTCTCTATTAAAAAGATATAACTCAGACAGGAATTGTATACTTTTTCTGTCGGTGACCTTGAACTTGCCAGAATGACTTTGGGTCAATTTCATTACACAACATTTGGACATTAGCAATCTCTGTACCAAGTATGAGCTTCAAATGATTCTCTATTACGATGTTATAACCTAGACAAGATTGCACAGACAGACGAGGTGATTCCACACCCCCAAACATCATTTGCGGGCTATTATGATATACCAGTCTAACATTAGTCCATCTTATATAATCCAAATTATTACCATCTTGCATCAGTCCACCTAATATAATCCAAATAAGCAAATTCAATTAATTGTGATTCCAAATAAGCAAATTCAAATAATTGTGACCCCCCTTTTTTCGGTGACGTAGTGGTTGGGATACAATTATTTGTGGCATATTGTAAATATCTTGCTTGTGTATCCTTCAAACATCTTATAATATTTTCCTATGAACTAGAAATAAAAGACATCACAGAGTCAACACATCTGTTTCATATTTGGATATTTTATTAGAAAAAGATCAAGGTCACGAAGTATAAGATGATGTTTTTTTCTGAAAGTTGTTGTCATAGGTAATGTACATGCATTAGATGAAATCCATATCTTCTATCATTCAAAAGCTACTGCCAATGTAAATAAAATTTGAAAAAAAAATATAGGTTAAACTTTAAGGTAAAACACCAGGGTGCATTCGGAAAGGTCTTGAAACAGGTAATGCATATGATAAATATAAATGTCCTATCTTCTGTCATTCAGAGGTTATATGCAATGTTAAAATGTATGAAAATTAGGTCAAACTCCAAGGTCAAGCCATGGGGTTTAAAATCATTAAACATTTGAAAATGTCTTGTCACAGGTAATGCACATGTCTAATATGAATGCCATATCTTCTCTCCTTCAAAAGTAAGCAGAAATGATTTTTTTTTTTTTGAAAAGTAAGGCCAAACTTGAAGGTCAAAGTCACAGGTCAAGTGTCATATAGCACATTCGGAAACTTCGTGCTACAGGCAATGCTTTTACTAAATATGAACGCCCTGTCTTCTCTCATTCAAGCTATTACCAATGTTAAAGTTTTTGAAAAAAATAGGGTCAAACCTCAAGGTCACTGGGTCAAATATCATAGCATGTTCGGAAACGTCTTGTCACAGATAATGCTAGACTCCTGACAAATTTCATTCGATATCTTCGGGCTTGCTTCTCTCATTGAGAAGCACCAATCAAATTGAAGTAGACAGATAATGTTAACAGAAAGGAATCAGTTGACACCTTAGTGGACGTGTTACGCATTGTTTTATTCACCGAAAGGCTTAATATGATTGGTTGAGATATAAGAAAAACTATCAAGATTTGTAATTTTCCTGAAAGACGTCGCTGCAGTCAGCCCGCAAGATGCCGAATGAAATTTGTCAGGGGTCAAACGGCAACGTGTTGACTCAGGACCTCTGACGTTGTGAGGATGTGTCGTTGCTAGAAAAAACTTCAGTTGATATTGTGAAAATGCTCGAGATAAACTATGCATAATGATAATGAACCGTGCACACACATGAATACGTTAAGCACACATTTTATGTATTATGATAATTACAAATTCTCTAAATGTATATCACATTCATGGACTCACTGTATGCCATAAAGCACCTTTTATCTTGACTTATGGACATATCTTTAAAGGATTACGAGAGGTTAAATTCATATATAACTGCTGGATGTCTGGGCAGCTATTATTTCGTAATTCTTTATTGAATATACCAAAATAAATTTAATTTATTAACTAATTTTAGTTAAAAGATCTAAAGATCTAAATGTACACGAACTTCAGGCGAACTAAAAAAATTAATACTTTTTCCGAGATTTTATTAATATGACTGTACATGGTACATGTTTACTAACTTCCTTCAAAGTAACATCCAAAGGTAAAAAATAACTTTTATTTCAGTTGCTCAACAACTTATTTCATTGTATTGGTTTGTGAGGAATATGTGAAGTGACGTCACTTGGCCCATGCTGTACAAGCATTCTGGTACTGTTTGGAACATTTTCTGAAAAAATTAAAGTAAAAATTTTGAATTACATACTAATCTATCACTCGATATGATAATGCTTTATGACAAACAATTATTCTTGAAAAAAAGTGAAGTACTTCTATGCTGTAACATATAGACTTAAAACTATCAATATTACCTAATTAACATATTAAGTTACAGTGTGTATAGTTTATTAGTGTCTTACTGAATACATTGTTGGTGGGATTTTCTCAAAAACTGGTGACCGCACATCAGACACAAAGAACCAGGAAAAGGCCACCAGTTTACCTCTGTCATACATCAAGTAAAATGGCGCCAGTTCCTCGCAGTACATATCTCGTCGGACATTAAAATGGTACTGGTTACCTATCATCATCAAATAAAGCAATGGATATATTTGTATAAATAAAGAAAAAAGAAGTACAATACTTCTTCTAAGTTCATCACAATTCTATGCCCGCATTAGAGGAAGTTCTTTCCAAGAAATATAAATTTTAAATACAGTTGAACTTCGGGATCTCGAACACTGAAATTTCGAATACCATGGATATGTCTAAGTGAATTGGAAGTCCAAACCCCTTATTTCTTTAAGTAATTTACCCTGGATATCTCGAATCCTCGGATATCTCGAAGTTTTTCTCGGTCCTATGAAGTTCGAGATAATGAGGTATTTCGTGAAAAAAAAATGGATTCTACAGTTATATGATTGGACAAGTAACACCCCCCCCCCCCACGAGGATATAACCTACCTAATCTTGGCATACACTGTCCCTGTCCCCAGAGGGTCTCCCTAATTGTAGTTTCGTCTATGGGCACAGGAACGGAATCGGACATGGGATTTGGTCCATTCTGGAAATACAACCCCGTTCCTATCCCCTCCGATACCAGCTGAGACTCTGTTCTTGTAGAGGCACATATTTTCGCTGTAGTAAAAAAAAATACTATACTTGCAAACAACTGTCAAAGTGTCCTATACAATTTTTGCAAGTTTACATACATGTACATACTTAATTTGTCTCACTTGCAGGTCTTAACTGATTTTTTTTTTTAATGTTTTTAAGTGAAAAATGTAATATCTGGTATTTTTTTTCTCATCCAAATTGTATAATTTTGGCACACTTCTTCACATTTCAAAATCTTACAGGGTTCCATGAAATATGCGGTAACGAAGAGTAGGTTTCCTTCTTGGACAAATGGGCGGGGCTTCAGATTTCTTGTTGGATAGCCATTGGACAAATTATCTGGGATCTGCAAACATGAAAAAAAAAAAAATAGAATTTTTGCACAATCCTATGAATGGTCACACATATAGTTTACGTCATATCCGTCCCACCTTTAGTTAGCTTAATTTCGGGGGGAAAAGGGCCTGTTCAAGATATTTTTCACAAAATCCCATACACAAATACATTGCAGGTTCTTATATACAATACAAAAAGCCAATTCAAATGTTTTCGATATATATGATCTTGCCTTCCTGTACAACTTTGACCTTGTTTTGCACTGAAATATACATATTCTTTTATGACCTTGATCTCCTGTATAATTAAGGAATGTTTTTAAGTTTTGTGTGAGTTATTGATTATACCGTGTAAATCACACAGACTTGTCACGTAGGCATATTTCATGAAACGCGCTAGCGCTTCATGAAAAATATGCCTACGTGCAAGTCTGTGTGATTTACATGTACACACCAATAATTCACACTAAACTTAAAAACATTCCTTATATTTACATCTTACAAGTTTAAAAGCACAAATAATATACTCAATATTTGAATTTCTCACTGCCCTATATCATTACATTTTTATTTACGTCTGTAGCCTCATTGTGACGTCACTTTAGCGCGAGTTTCACCGTGTATATTTCTACTCGTGAGTATACACAAAATGACTTTCAAATCAATTTCACAGTTGGCATAGGAGAAAAACACAGCAAATGTAAATATGTAACCTTGGCTTCACATCTTTTTTTCCCCCTTTTCTACAAGTTTCAAAGAAACTCTGAAGCTTAATACACAGATTCGTATTATTTTCATCCATTATGTTGTACTATTTTGGAAAGCTCATATCAAAGAAACAAGTTGCATTTCTTTCCATTTACCTTTGAACGCGGGCATTCATATTCTATGGACATATTACTTGTTTATAGTCCTTACCCCCGTTTGAAGACCCGCAATAAGACCCTGAGAATCGTAAATGAGTACCACAGCTGGATCGTTGTTTCTCCAATAGCGCTTGCCAATAAAGTTGACGGATCCTAAAAGTAGCAAAATTAGTACCATTGTACATTAAGGAGGTTGGATCCTGCCTTCAAAAGTAATGAGAATTTTTTATCAAGTATATTTTTAGAATTTATACACATAGCTTAATTAAAAATCAAAACAAAAAATGGGGGTCAATGCGCTTCTTTTGGCGTAGTCCGAAATATCTGACGTTTTCCTGGCTTTTTTCATGATTTGATATTTTACGAGCCAGGAAAACGTCAGAACCGGCGCCATTACGAAAACTGGAAATTTCGCCTTCTCCAACCAGAGTTGATTTTCGATACTGGCGAACCGAATTAAATGCCGAACTCACAGTTTATCAATAGCACAATGCTTCTAGTACTCACCAATATCGATGAAAAGAAAACACCACTCCACATTATACAGGACTTTAAAAATGTTAAAATGCACAAAATGAAAACAAATCTCGACAGTCAGATAAAATGTTTTCATCGGATTGTATTTTTTAAAAACGAACCATGAAAACGATGTTGATGAGTACTAAAAGTATTGTACTATTGATAAGATGTGAGTTTGACATTTAATTCGGATCGCAAGTATCGAAAATCAACCCGAGAATGCCGCCTCCGGTTGGAGGCGGCGAATTCCCAGTTTAAGTAATGGCGCCGGTTCTGACGTTTTCCTGGCACGTAAATTATCAAATCATGAAAAAAGCCAGAAAAACGTCAGATATTTCGGACTACTTTTGGCGCTACAGAGCATTTAGTTTGACCTTTTTGCACTGTAAATACGTCTTACACATAAATCAATTTTTAAAGTTTTTCCTCCAATATTTTTTATTCAAATAAATTATGGGAACAAACACAGCCTTATTTCATCTTGAATAGACACATTAAAATTTGTGACAATGAAAAAAATTTCAAATTACTCCGCATGTTCAATTACTTGACCTTTTTGCACTCAAAAAAATTCATTTTTCTGGCATTAAAAAATTTAACAAGCAAAAAAAAAATAATTTGAAAGTAATGACATTTTACTGAATTTAAGAAGAATGGTTAAAAGTATCTTGTATATTCAGAAAAGAAAATAAAAAGTGGGTGTCTGTGATGTTAATTTTTAGATATTACTAAAAAAGTGCCGATTTTAAGCTTAAATTAGGGCTATTTTTTCTTGATTTTTCACAATATATTTGCTATATTTATCAAATATGATGATAGAATCCATGACAGTTTATTTGATATATAATTTAGGACCAGTATAAAACAGTTCACTGCACAAAATAACTCTGTGTGCAGGCTGCATGGAAAAATAGGAATCCAAACTTAACATACTTTAAATACTTCGAAAAAGAAATAATGATCATTTTCTTCGAAAAAACCTTCCGCCACAAAATATAGTTCCTCGCTTAATGCCTTTGGTATGGAATTTAATCATGGAGTTTTAACTGAATATTGTTTAATTTGCATTGTAGAATCCAAATTTATTGTAAGAATTAAAACTTTATGCAGAATTTTTGAAATATAGGTTAAGATATAAATCTGCTCAAAAGCTCAGGAGCGAACCTCGTTAAGGAGTTGAACTTTAATTAAATTGAACAGGATGTACCTAGGTTTGGTAAACCGTTCACATTTCGCAGCAAAATTTTCAGATGTTTGTCTTGATCTTTATTTTTTTAAAAAGGAGGGTTGAATTCATTAATTTTACAAAATTTATATTGATTCAAGATTTAATTATTAGTACATTGCGTTGAATAAAATTCTATTTTAAAGTGTTTTTTTTTCATTATGTATTTACCGTGTAATTAATCAAATAATGGGTGTTTACAAATTCGTCATTTGATTTATCGTTTTGTAAGCAGGAAATGTCACATTACATCAATCAATGAATGTTGATTGAAATACCGTTCCTATCGGCACAGATACTTAAACAGGTTAACTTTTAATCCTAATTCTATTGCATGTTATCTCCATATTGTTTGCATTGTTTATGAGGCATATCTTTAAAATCATTGATATAATGAATTCAAATTTTCTTCAAGTAACGACCCTGTTTTCTTTCTTTCAATATGATAGAATCTTTTTGTATTGATTTTACAAATAGTCTCGGTGATCCATGCTTTTTGATTTGCGAATATTGAAGATAATATAAAATTGACATATAAATTAAGTCGATTATAAGACTTTTTAAATCACAGTTCTGTTTATTTTAACCCTATTATTCCTTATTTACACAGTTTCTCCAATATATGTTTTATGTAAACCATATTCTTTTGCAACTTCTAAGTTCAATGATAAAATAATATATGTTCACTTGAATTACCTGAACAGTCAGAAAGCATTGTGAAGCCTTCTAAAATGGCATCTGATTCTCTTAATGGAAGTTGTGCGAAGGCAGAAGGGTTTGTGTTGAAGCTTGGACGTGTAGAGTTGTAGTCCCATGTAACTAGGAAAAAGGTGAGAACATTTAAGGGAAAAAACACCATATATTTTTGGATTTATTTTATTTTTACAAAGCGTCTTTATTAATTAATGATATTTAGTGGAAAAACTGTTTAAAGAGTTTGAAATTAAATTCAACAAATACTGTAAACTAATTTTTTATTTGTGATTCGTCAGGTTGAAATCCATCCGAATTTGATTAAGAGCACATACTTAATAAATATGGTTTGGTGCTAAGAAAAAAAAAGAAGAATGTGGCAAAACTTGCGTATATTTTTCGCACGCGAAACAGTTAAGCAATTGATTGAATGTATTTTGTCCACATCAAAGGGTAGGAGTTAGACCCCCTTCCCTCTTCCTCTCAAGTAACTCTCAAATTGCTTTCTAAAACTCCTTTTCCCCTTTGTGGAATATACATGGCTTATTTCTTCATAAATGTCCTTGATATTAACTACCTGTTGACCGAGCAGGTGCCTCTGTATATTGCAGTGCGACATTTCCAGGAAAATGACATGATATTAAATCTTTTTTTTATAACCACAAACATCCGCTGTTAATAAATTATTAGTATAAATGTCAGATATTATTTTGGTTTTTATATGTAGTATTTTTTATGGATTAAAGTTCAACGTATTAGGTTAATGTATCTTGAAATTAATGTTTGAAATAAAAGTATTCCTTCAGGATATTCTGTTAAGTATTTAATTATATACTAAGGCGAACTTAATATCTTTTACGCTAATAAGTGTCTCTGAATAAACATATCAAATGCACATTTCTATGAAACAAATGAGGGGCTTTCACCGTTTATTTTTCCACAGAAAGCAGGATACGTCCTTCATGTTCTGATGGGCTTTTCGGCTTGAAGAATTTTCTTCATTATCGATCAAAATATTTTCTACTAACAGTAACTGTTTTCCATTATATACAATTTTCTCTCTATCAAGTATTTATACATGTACTTAATTTAGTAAATATCGTCTAGTACATATAAAACTTACTTCGGAGGTCTGTCCATTTCGGAGACTGTCCTGAAATGCAAATTTAAGAAAATATTTAACATAATTATGTGTGCTACTTTATGTAAATACTCAGTATTGGTTTCATTTTGACACAAACAAGTACTAAATGAATCTTGGCGAAAGCCTAAATGTCATAATGATTTAGTCATTTTAGTTAGTTGACACCCGCTCCTTATCCTTGCGATATGAATCTGAGAAAACAAGAAGTTTGAACCAGATGAGTGTTTGTATGCCAACAGGGAAATCAAAGGCTTAGGTGTCATATACATGTACGTACTTTGTCTTCAATTTTTGATCTTTTTACTAAACTTACCGTATAGCTTTAATATCGCATTATAAATCGGCAACTTTTTTCACTTTGCAATGTGAAAAAATGTTATATGTTCTTTAACTTACTTTAAAAAATACATGTTAAAAATAGTTTTTATTCTATCGGGAGCTTACCCTCTAAAGACATAACTAGGTTACTAGATTCAGGACCAGGTTTCTCAGGGGACACTTCTTGTTGCACTGCAGCCTTTGTCTCCAAGGTTGTTTGTGAGTTTGTAGTTTGTTGCTGGGAGCTTGGACCAGAGTTAGACTGCTGCGTAGGTATGTTACCATTGTTAGTTTCACTTCGAAGCTGAGCATTTGTTGAGGAAGTTGTCTGCAGTATGAAAAAAAAAAAAAGATTTCGAAGTATCTTATTTGGATACCTAATTGGGATCAAATTTTATAAGATTCATTTATTTACAACGGGGTAATTAGGAAAGAAATATTTTTACAATTTCTGTCTGTTTGTGCTATAAAAATATTTATTCAATTTGTTGTCTACGAAGACATAGATGCTGACACGATAAGTGTGAACCAGGACAGTATTTTTCTAATATTTGGAGACATAACATCTATATAATTTCCTAAAAATCAAGATAATATTTCTTTATTTCATAAAATATCAACTAGATTATGCCCCCCCCCCCCCAATACAAAAGAGAAAAAAAAATCTAATGAAAAAATTATACTTTTAATGCCTTTTTTTTCAATAGATAATTTTTAAAAACCCAGATCGACATATCGGTAAATCAAAACTTAATGCAGTGAAATAGATTATTTATAACATAAGGTAAAATCTTGACCTTAACTTTGTGTCATCCCATATTGGCTCGCTAAACCTTACAACATTTATTGCATATTAACTGAGAACAGGTGGTGTGCATAAAGATATAACACAATAATTGTTTTATGACATTGTCACGCGCTTTTGACATAAAATACATGACCACCGTTACCTATATTCATTGATGGGAAGACATCTAATTTTTTAACAATCGCGCATACAAGAATAAGGTCATGTAATACATGTATTGTGCGTCAGTAATGGCCAGGGCTTATAATATTCTAGAATTCTTAAAATTATCTATATTAAAATGCAAGAATATATTTTACATGCGTATTAGTAAGTTGTGTACTTAACCTGTAAGAGAAATTTAGTATCATATAACTTTATTTCTTTGATTACAACAAAATTGATGAAAAGCGAGAGATTCAGCTATTTTTAAGTACTGAGAATTATAGCTTACTAATTAAAAAGACATTTCCTAAAAGTATTACAGATAAGCTATGTGCATTCAATTATACATGTAGTTTCAATTCTCATAAATCATGCATGGAGTTTTTTTTTAAAAGAAAGATATATTTTTTTTGGGGGGGGGGGGGGGGGAGGAGGCATTTAAAATACAAACCGGTACAGCTGGCACAGCTGCCTCGTACAGTGGTAGATTACTTCCGGGGACTATTGATGGTATAAACATTTCCGGTTCTTCTCCTTTCCGTCGATTTTCGTTGGGCTGGAAGGGTATATAGACCGGGAAAATTTCCCCTGTGGTAGGAATACGCACAGCTAACTGAGGGTATGGCAAATATATAGGCTTTTCTGGGTATGCCAGTCTCCTTGAATTGTCACTCGTAAAGGGTAAATACGCTAACGCGCTTTGTTGCGGTAGAGCGTACTGAACGTATATCGTACTCGGATCGTCGGACACAACAGCCGTTCCTGCTACCCCAGTATCTCCTTGGAAAATTTGTAGAGTGGGTCGATTCTCGGCCCTCCGAAGAGGGGGTACATTGGGGTAATAAGTATCAAACATTGATTTGATTGTGACGTAATGATCATCAAATCCTTGGTCTGGAATTGAAACAGAAGGGAACGATCCAGAGACGGAGACAAAAGTAATAGAAGGAGTAGAACTAGATGGCGCTGAAGGCATTGCGGGAAGATTTCCGCCATTTTGAACTGAGAGCCACGGTGGCGGAGTGGGAGACTGACTTGGAGCTGTTGTAAACGATGTGCTTGGTGGAGGTATAACGCCACCAGGAGGAACAGGAGCTCCGTTCACAGTAGAAGCACCGGTAGGGGGCAGTGTCCCTCTGTTTTGAGATACTGGTAAGTTGTTCACAGTCGGTATGCCCCTTATAAGCATTTGTCCGACTACTCCAACGTCAAAACATAAAAGTAATACCATCGCAAAATTAAGATCCATTTTGCATGAATTAAAAAAAACCCAAACTTTAATTCCTCTAATCCTTTTTATATGAATAGAACAGTGTCTACCGAAACTAGATTTCCTTAAGGAAAGTATCACATTGCCATTAAGTCCTCAATAAAGTAGCGACCACTGGTATAATGGATGTCTTCCTGTGTTTTCTCTTTTATGTTTTCTTTTTCTGTTGGCAAATATCACAATGCGGAAACAACGGTCCTATACCTAGAAATAACGGTCTTTTCCTCTATTCGTCTGTAGGAGATTCTATAAGAAACAAGAATATAACGTGAATTTTAAAGTTTTTAGTTCTTGTATGACCCATACCTTGTGTTGTTGATTTCGTGTCATTAGCGCGGCTTGAAATCGATCTTCATGTTCATCATTTGTCTTTGATGTCATGATTGAAATAAACGTAACTATGTGGACTTAAGCGTACGTTTAGTTTTTAAGCAATCGGAAGTCAATCAAAACACATCGATTAGCAAATATAAAATCAGTGGGAAAATATTATATTGATTGAACATAATGCATTTCAGTAATAAAATATTTCATGTAACTTTCTGAGAAATTTTATTTTCTTACAAAAGAGACAAATTAAGCACAGCTCATCAGATAATACGTCATACAAACCCTTGAAATGTATTACATGTAGAGATCATTCAAATCCTGAACGATATATCCATTATTTCGAGACGAAAACAAGCAAGAAAGAATGTTGTTAGTTATAACACATATAAAACAAACACGTGTTACGCTATTTACTAAGATAAATGCATAATTTTAACCTTTTTTTCCCCTCTATCTCTTCATATGGAAGTCATTTAATAAAAGGCGGATGTCTTTTTATTAATTGATTCACCTTTTGTGATAATTTGCAAAATTCTTACCTAATTTTTTAAGTCCGCAAATATAACGTGCTTCGTACATTAATTAGAAAATCCGTTTTCTTGATAATAATTTGTGTGACGTAATGTTTAGTCTTTTGATATTTAAAACAAAATAAAGAAAATGTCAGCAGACGATCTACTGAACTTTTTTTTTTTTTTTTTTTTTTTTAAATTGCATCTGTTCAGGGCGTCCAATAGTTTTATATCTGTAAATGTATGATAGGATCAATTGTTTTTTGGTGGGTCATGAGTGGAGAGAGTGTGTGGATAGGTACATGCATGTAGGTGGGTTGGGACTCCACAATCCATATCAAAAAGATAAAACACACGGATTTTATTCTTTTTTAAACAACTTTTTTTTCTTCAAACATTTTAACAATTAACTGTTTGCATGATTGATTATAATTATTCATAAACTACATGTATTAATACCCCACGTGATAGGTTTTTTTTTTTTTACCCTTTCTTGGTGGATTGTGCCAACCACTTTTTGTTTGTTAGTTACTTTTAATATCTTTCTACTAAATTGAGGTTGTTTTCTATTTTAGGAATGACTCTAATTCTTGGCCAAATTATTCGAGTATAACCTGGTTTGGGTCAGTTTACGCTTTATAATCCGCGAAGCGGATTATAAAACAGCGTAAACTGACCCAAACCAGGTTATACTCGAATAATTTGGCCAAGAATTAGAGTCATTCCTTATAATTTAATTTTAAAATCATTAAATAACTATGGGTGTAAAATTTTGTTACTTTTTATTAGTTCAAATTTGCCGCTCAATAATACAACCGTAGTAACGGAAGTAACGGAAGTGATGGGAATCGAGAGGAGGTAAAAACTGATACATAGGCCTAGCAGCCATGTTGTTTGGTTACATGTGGTAAGATCGAATTATCGTTTGAAATTTAAAAGTACATTTATTAAATCTGGAATTTTCCATGAGTCCCGAGGACTGGAAATGACAGGATTTTATGGATATAGATGATTCAGCTGGTTGTCAAGGGGGTGTGTCCCCATACCAAACCAGGTTATACAGAAATAATTTGTGTTCCTTTTTGGATATTAACCAATCAGAGGCTAGAATACAAACAAAATTAAATCATTGTTAAATATGACAGGTTAATTTAGGATTCAAACTTAAGCTTATCACTTGTAAATCATATCTATTTTGAACATTTAAGAAGACTAACAAGATGATTGCAAAATGATGAAATAATTTCAGTAAATTGATTAGATGCAACTACAAAGAAACGTTATTACGTAAATGCAACTCATCACTGACAAAGTGATTGCAAAATGAATATATTCTGCAGGTATCACGGTCATTTGGTTAGGAAATGAACTTAGATCTTGAGATCAATGATAAATTGAACATTTGTAAACTTTGTACAGTTTTATTATTTCGCTCTTAATCTGACCTCTTTTTTCGTAAATTAGACAATATTTAAGGAATCACTGTCTAGTTAGTAGAGTATGCCAGGGCATCAACGATAGTTGGAAACATGGGATAATTTGCATAACGGGCGAAGCCCGTTATGCATGAATTATCCCACGTTTCCAACTATCGAATTCCATTTCATTGTGAAATAAAATTGTAAATTTAGATTTTAAAAAATGTAGACTAATAGATTTAAATTACACGAGGCCTCACATGTCATTTTCAATAGTCCCCGCCCACTGACGTCAAACACAAAGACAGCCGCACGAGATTTACATGCATATTAGACCTTCTTAGCTCCTGACCTTTCGCTTGGCGAAATTTGCATTCCGGTAGAATGATCAAAAAATCAACTCTCCCAACTTTCAAAGAGTTATCACAGAGAAAACAAATAGAATGGAAATATTAACTGTTTTGCTGTTATATATTGTTAGTGTAAAGCCATGCAACCACATCTACAGAACACAAGAAAAGACAGAATAAAATCGACAAACCGATATATATATATATATATATATATATATATATATATATATATATATATATATATATATATATATATATATATATACACACACACAATGGTTTTTCGATATCTATGAACGATATCCAGTAAGGTGAGTCTGTTTGAAAATCTGTCATTTCCTCTTGAAGAGGGCATTTTCTAGTACATAAAAATCCATTGTAAAAACCACTTATGATAAAATATATTGCACAACCAATAAGATAAAGCAACTAAATCATTTCTAAGAATAGGAATTTGGTGACATTCATGTATTTACAGGTTTTTTATAATCCAAAAATCCTATCATTTGAAAAAAAAGACCTAAATAAGTTTTTATTTTTCCACTTTTAAAAAGATTCCAATTTTTTGTTTTGTTTTGCAAGTTACTAGTACCTTTACCTTCAAGCATTTCCTTTTCTTTTGTTTTTGAAAGTAGATCTGAAGTCAATTAACCAAAACCTCTTGGAAGCAGTGGAAATGAAAACATAAAATTTATATAGCATCTTTCGCAATGTCTAGTCATTTCTTTCATTACCTAATCACATACAGTTCCAGTCTATAAAAATATTTAAGAACATTCAAACGTCGGATGGAGTGTAAAAATTATGGCTAAGCAAACGTTGCGGAAAATTTCCAAATCAATTTTCAAATAATTTATAATAACAAATATTCTTACCGCAATTTTTTTCTTAAAGCCATTATTCAGCATGACCAGTAATGCAATATTGGCGAAAGTTACACGGTTCTATGTCGCGATCGTAAAACCGACGATAAATTCACCAGTGCGGTGACAACATAATCGTTACAGAGACGTGGACACGTGCAATAAATTGCAAAATTGGCAGCCGTGCACAGTCAGTTTTTGATTACTGTCAAAGAATTTGTCTTATATGAGAATTAGTTACAAACTATTTAGGTGATCAAAACCTTTTGATAAAAAAGCTGCTTTCTTTACAAAGAAGTATGATTTCTGGGATATTGAATAGTATCATCGTAAGGTTTACACTAGCAATCAATTTTTAATTTATGATTATTTTATTTAATAAAATCTGCGTTTCGTTTTCATAATTGATGTCTAATTTCAATGAATAGGTATTAAATAGTAAATACATTGCATAATATTTACTTTCAATCTTTCTTTCCAACATTCTTATTGACATGATCACTATTATAAATGTTTTAAACCCCCCAAAATAGACTTAACAATTCAGCCAATTCAGGGAACAAATTATACATGTGGCCACTTGGATTCAGTCTTTATATAAATTATGATGATTCACATGTAAGATATTCGAACGGATGAAAAAAATTAAGTGACATTGAAACATACTGTGAAAACTTGTATGACACTTTAAAAAAAAAAAAATTAATGAATACACTGCACTAAAATAAAACACACAAATTATTCCTCTTCTGATAGCTTATACTTGCTATTAGTATATTTGAAGTTTCTGCACTGAAGAGTAAATAGACTCGCTCCGTTTGAACTTTCTGTTCTCGAATATCTAATCAGTTTAAACACAGACAACCGCTGTTCCAGTGTCTACCGGTAACTAATGTGTCAGCTTCTCAGATGCCTAAATAAAGTCGCAATCAAATTACGATAATTCTTTTTTAAAATTCGCTCAAATATTCTCACAAGGATTTTTTTTGTATTTAAAAAAGTGTTGCCATAATATGCATATGTATAGAAACCATGGAAAAGACAGTGTGCAATATATACTAAAATGAAAGTATCAATAAACAAAATAAATGCAGTTTTAGTTCTTGTTTATACTTGGTTTTCAATTTGCCAAGATTTTCTTCTTCCACAAGGAAAAAGCACTCATTGATATAAGTGAAATGTTTATCTCAATATTACGTAAAACTTCCCTCTCCGCAATATCTGAATTTTGAACTCACAAATATAATTATATTTTTAATACTTTTCATTTAACATTGCTAGGGGGAATGGGTTTAGTAATCTTACCTGTTTTTTTTTCTTCAAGTTTTGACCTTGAACTGTTTATCAAGAAGAAATTTCTTAGAAAAGACAAAATTGAATTCCTTGAAAGCTAATGACCTTCTTTCAAACTAATCCAGGAAAAAAAAACTACTAGAATACTAAAACAAAAAAGTATTTATTGTTTGATCAAAATATGAGACAAACATGTGAGGTTGCTTTCCAGTGAAATTACAATCTATGCAAAGTAAAATAATCAAAGAAAACCAGTATATTGCAAGTTTAAAGTCACCATTTGGCAAATTCTATGGTCGTTATAATTGATATATTTGCAAAAACACAACCTTTCTTTGGATCATATTTTGACCGACACGTTTCATTTAAATTGTTAGGTCTATGCTTTTATACTTCATTAGACCACGGATTGCTTCGTTTACATGATCAGTACATATAGGGCTTATAGCTGTGACCGGTCGACAGGGGAAGTTTAATTGACCTAGTCACCTGATCCGACCTCTGGTGTTTCCAGAGGTCCCCGTTTTTTTGCCCTGTTCACGATTAGTATTCTTTGCTGCATTTCTTCACCTATATTTGTTATGCATAATGTTCGAGGGTTGTCCCAGAAAAACGGTAATATTTTTCACTTCACTGATATAAAGTTGAAAACTGCCATGCACCATATTCAATATTTTTTGAATTATGCTACTTAGAAATTTCAAGAAGATCTCTATATAAATTACATTTTACTCTCAGTTAAACGAGTCTTATAAAATAACTTTACTGACAACGTCAAAACGTAGCTCATGGCGTTTGTGAAAAGTTCAAAAATCGTGCGTCTTCAAAGTATAAATTTGACATTGTGCACATTTGATTTTCTGTTAGTTACTGAGTTATCCATCTCACACACACGAGAGTCACCAAAAGACAGCGGACACA